CTTGCTTGATGCCAAACCAGTCTGATGTCTCTCCATCTATTCTGACTGCTGCTTGTTGGTCTTGATAGAGCATTTTAATGAGCTGCACTATATGTGATGGAAAGCCCATATTCCTCATGATTTCCCAAAGCTTCTGATGTTGTACACAGTCAAATGCTTTTGAATAATCCACAAAACATTAGTAGCCATTAGGCTACTCTTTTCGATTTTCAACTGCCAAGGGATTTCTTTACGTGCAAACAATACACACAAGCGTCCGGTCCTACTACCCAGAGACCAGAAAAAGTGACTAGAAGTCCACTTGAAAACATCCCAGTCTTCACCCGGTGCTTGAACCCGGGACCTCTAACACTCGAGGCGGACACCATACCTCGAGACCACGCAGCCACTCGTTTACCACAACAAATTTATTCTGTTAGTTTTTTACTAACATGTAGTAAATTTATGTGGTTTTACTGCCTGCAGGATCCTCGCAGGTGCTACGAGAACTGCGCTGAGATTCTCATGTGTAAGAACTAAAAAAGTGTCACGTGTTTATTTGTTAGCCTGATTTGATTTGATTTGATTCAAGAACCGACATCACAGCACTCGGGGCATTCCTATAAGCGCTCCGTCCCCATCTTTAGCAGCCAGCGAAGAGTTCCGATACTAATGGTGCCAGTAGCATTCTGATTAAACGTCCGTCTTGCCTTTCCTCTGAGCCTCGAGCATTTGCCAGAACCTCTCGTCACTCCCCGCTGCATCAATCTTACCAGACTATGGTGATCCATCTGCTCCTCCGAACTGTACACGCTCTCCCACAAGGCATTAACCACGTCTGCCTTATCATGTATCAGTATTCCACCAAGTTGTACAGAACCAGCCAGTCTGACCGCCTGTTCATTTCCCAACACGCCGGCGTGGCCCGGTGAAAAAATCCAAACACTTAGCCTGAAAACACATGAATACATACTCAGGAGGAGATCGGAGCAGATATGCTCATGTCCACAGGTAATTTAGCCTACATAGCACTCTGTAAGTGTTTGACACTTGCACCAGCATGGATAAGAATTTGTGCAAACCATAACCACATATGATTTAGCCCGGCTGTTGTCAATCAGCTATGGTACCTTCGGAATTTTAGCTCTTCGCCTTCTGCTGAAGACGGGAAGGGAGCGCTTATTGGGGGGGGGGGGGGGGGTGTGTGTCCCGGGTGCTGTAATGTCGATTCTCAATTCAACATTGCTGTAAATCCTATAGAACACTAAGCAGCAACTCTGAAATTCGATATGTGTTTGCTACAACCATGGTGTGCACCCGTCAGAATGCCCAACTTAAACAATCACCACTTCGGTATACGCAGGTGAGGGTCTAGCCACTGCACCACCGCGGCTCCCGAGGGCCTATACAAAAATATGAGTTTAGCACCATATGCCCGGTGGTTTTCTGATGTGGTCAGTCAATCAGGTGCCGTCTCCACAGTGAAGGCTGGCGGCAATTTATCGCCAACACACTCTCTCAGACTGCTGCCCGTCCATCTCTTAATGTTATCCTCCCGCTTGTATCGTTGCATACTTCTTGCTCGCTTGTCTTCGACCTTTCCCTCCAGTGTGGTTTTTTAAAGTGTGTTATGTCTTTTAAAGTGACCAAAGTATTTCGATGGTCTCCCGTTTCTTTTTTAAATTTCTTTCAGTAATTCTCTGTTTACTTGTAGCCTTTCGAGAACTTGTGTAGTTGACTGTTTTTGTTTCCATGAAATACGACCCATTCTTCTGGAGTCCTACATCTCCAGAGACTCAATTTGACTTTCTAGTTGCTTGTTCATTGTCCACGTTTCTGCACCATATAGCAGGACTTCTTCTTCTCCTTCGTTTCTCTACTCCTGGAATGCCTCGCGGCATCAGGGAAGGAAGACATCGGACCCTACTGTTCGCTTCGTATATAGTTCTTTTCTGTGTCTCTGCTATTTCTGCGGTCTATTTCTGCGTGGTCGACCTCTGGGTATGTTACCACTGTATATGTATAACATTGCTCTCTGTGGTGCCATGTCTGCTGCCAATCTTGTTACATGGCCAAACCATTTGATTTGTTGTCTACCTATAAAGTCCAGTATTGGTTCTGTGACGATTCTTTTCCTGATATCATCGTTCCTGAGTCGATCTTTCCTCGTTACACCCAGCATAGTACGTAAACATCTAATTTCTGTCGTGACGATTTCCTTCTGTCTGCTAAAGACAGTGTCCATGTTTGACATTAATAGCAGAGCTTTGGTAAGAATATGGTGTTAAACAGTGTTCTTATATTGTTTATATTCACATCCTTGCGTTTTAAAATTAGTGCCATTTGGTCTAAAACTTGATTGGCTTTATTGCATCTTTGTTGGACTTCTTTATTCATTATTCCGTCTTCTGCAGGACTGAGTATACATAACATGTATCGATTCTCATTTTCAAGGTGTTTTTATCTCTCTAGTTGTCAGTAATTTGCGCATCTTATTGAAGACAGTTTTAGCCATTCATATTCTCTTTTTGATTTTTGTTTCGTTTCTTTCATCATCTGTTACTACATGTTCCTAGCTAGGAAAAACGTGTTGCTTGTTCTAACAGCTCTCCGTTTTCTGTGGTGTTAAATGTTGGCCGCTCTTTTCCATTCTCAGTTACCATAGTTTTTGTTTTTCCAATAATAATGTCTAAACCATTTTTTGCGATCCGCCTGTTGACTTTATCAACTAGTTTTCCTAACTCCTGCTCGCTTTCTGTTAGCAGAACTGTGTCATCTGCGTGTCTCAGATTGTTTATTGTTCTTTCATGAACATCCAGTCCAGTCAGTTTATTGTTCTTCCATGAACATCAGTCAGTTTATTGTTCTTCCATGAACATCAGTCAGTTTATTGTTCTTCCATGAACATCAGTCAGTTTATTGTTCTTCCATGAACATCAGTCAGTTTATTGTTCTTCCATGAACATCCAGTCCAGTCAGTTTATTGTTCTTCCATGAACATCCAGTCCAGTCAATTTATTGTTCTTCCATGCACATCCAATCCTGTCAATTTATTGTTCTTCAATGAACATCCAGTCTAGTCAATTTATTGTTCTTCCATGAACATCCAGTCCATTCAATTTATTGTTCTTCCATGAAAATCCAGTCCAGTCAATTTATTGTTCTTCCATGAAAATCCAGTCCAGTCAATTTATTGTTCATCCATTAATATCCAGTCCAGACTATTCCACAGCCTATTTAAAAATGTTTTCTGTATATAAGTTGAAAAGGCTTGGGGATAACACACATCCCTGACTTATTCCGCTTTTTATCTCTCTCTCTCTCTCTCTCTGTGGTGAGGTGTTGTGTCTAACTGTTGCTACTTGTTTCCAGTATAGGTTATTAATAATTCGGATATCCTTTCCACCCAATCCTATATTCTGGAGGCATGCAATAACCTTTTAATGTTGCACCCTGTCAAAGGCCTTCTTGTAATCTATGAAACATGCATAAATACTTTTCTGGACTACTCATTTTTCAGTCAGTATCTTTAAACAAATTAAAGCTTCCCTGGTGCCACTATTTTGTCTAAATCTAAACTATTCCTCGGACACTTTATTATTTATTTTACTCTGCATTGTTTCTTGAATTATCTTGAAAAGTATTTTAGTTAATATGGCTCATCAAGCTAACTGTTTTATAATCTTCACACTTAACTCATATACACAATCACACACATATATACAACAAAGAGACTGTTTTGAGCAGTGTGATGAAAATATACGTATTCAAATCCTTTGGAATGTAGCCAGTATTATAAATATCATTACACATTTCAGTGATGCTATCAACGCCAAAGCTGGATAATGACTGAATCATTTCTGTTGGTTTTTTTTTTTTTGTCAGGACCTGAGGCTTATTCAGGCTTCAAATTATTAATAACCCTCTCCCACTTCAGCTTTTAAAATATTTGGTCATTGTGAAGATTAAACAGTTAAAATATTTTTAATTAATAATAATTAAATAATAAATAATAATTAAACAGGTAAACTTATGGTGTTACTTACAATTTAATTATGTGGGGTCTATTATTATTTAGGTCTATGTTTGAGGGATTCATGTCGTGGTCAGTTATTCATTAGAATCTACCCTATGACATCGTGTTAAGTAGCGTTAACAGTAAGATTTAAAACCTAGGTAAACAGGAAGATCTTGTCGTGAAGCATTATATGCAAGACTGTTTATTTTATCAGCCTCTACACAGTGAGGTTTCATCGTAGAGCATTATCTGCAGTACTGTATTTTTTAAGACTATGCAGATGATTTTTTTAAATGCCTTATCTGCAAGACTAATCAATTGCTCGATAAAGTGATATTTTGTTGTGGAGTGTTTTCAATATAATTCCATAAGATTCTGTTGTGGATTATTTGCAGGACTGTATTCTATTAAAAACGGAGATTTTGTCTGGAAGACTTATCTGTAGGAATCTATATTCTACACAAAGAGATCCTGTTGTGGCTTAATCTGGAATCAACATAACGCCATGCGCATATTTTCTTGACCAAACTGCACTCGGTATGTAATGAGGTCAACATCACTTAGAACGTCTGTAGCTTTGACCTTCTTCGACTGGGTCCGCCCTGGAGCGGCGTGGGTGTGCAAAATAAGGCTTCCTTAAGGCTTTACCTCTGGGACACGTGGGATCTTTAGAGAAGTGAACAAGCCATTGTCACTATCACAAACAAGTGCACAGAGAGCATGCAACTGAGTGAGAGAGATAAACATAATTGGTAATTAGACAACAAAAATCTGGGGAAACTTTTCTCAGCTATCATTTAACTGCGTATTGCGAAGACTTGAATACAGTATAACACAGTATACAGGGGGAGAGAGAAATTCATGTCAAGAAGACCCCCACACATCTGTTTCCGCTTCAGATTATCATCGGCCCTGACACGTCTATCCGCAAATTAAGAGCTCCCATGCAAATTGCTCCAGTTATCAAACGTTGGGCGACTTCTCGGCGCAGCGGCCTCGGATGTCATTCATTGTACATGTCTTGAACTTCTTTCACAAACGGCAGGTGGCATCCCGTTATCTGCAGCCAGGGAGACACATCTCGCCAGTATTTCTCTCTCTGAAATTTCAGTTATTTAGTGTTATAAATTCTGTTTGGATTTTACATTTGCAGATACGTTTTCAAGGCTAATTGTTTTTTATTTGCTAGAAAACGTGGTTCCCACACTTACAGTATGATTCACTTCGCCTAGAGACGCTGTCCAAACGCGTTTAGATATTTCTACAGGCAGTCGACTTCACCCAAAAAGCTAAGCTGTCATAAACACTCTTTTAGATAGTTGTATCACTGTCTGTGGAGGAGTGCAATAGAGAATGGACGACCCACAGTGCAACAAGGTTTGTACATAATGCCACAACATTCGTTAATGGAGCTTGAGAACCAGCTGCAGACACACATTTTTATTTTTAAAGGATTTACAAAACATGCCAAGAGGTAGAGACAGGTATTCTCCGTGCAGAGTGGCGAACGTCACCCTTGAGGTTTGGGGTCGTTAACGTTCTTTGGATATTTTGTCTAGGAAATGCAAGTATCGTGAAAAACAAACAGCCAGACAGATTGGTTGGTTCTAGAATGTGACTTTATGCCTCATAAGCTAGACATGGTCAAGGCCGATTAGAAGCTGGTAAATATTGTGGAAGCACAAAAGATCATCACGGTTTAGAGCGAAAGGTGCAGCTGAAAGGGTCCAGGACATCTAGCCGACACTCAACATTCAGAAGACATACAATTAGACTGCAGCTTGAAAGGTCCAAGACATCTAGCCGACACTCAACATTCAGAAGACAGACATACAATCAGACTGCAGCTGGAAAAGACCAGGGCATCAAGCCGACACTCATAATTTAGGAGACAGACATACAATCACACTGCAGCTGGAAGGGGCCATGGCATCAAGCCGACACTCATAATTCAGGAGAAAGACATACAATCAGACTGCAACTGGAAGGGGCCAGGGCATCAAGCCGACACTCATAATTCAGGAAACAGAAATACAATCACACTGTAGCTGGTAGGGGCCAGGGCATCAAGCCGACACTCATAATTCAGGAGACAGACATACAATCAGACTGCAGCTGGATGGGACCAGGACTTCTAGCCGACACTCAACATTCAGAAGACAGACATACAATTTGACTGCAGCTGGAAGGGGCCAGGGCATCAAGCCGACACTCAACATTCAGGAGACAGACATACAATCAGACTGCAGCTGGAAGGGACCAGGGCATCAAGCCGACACTCAACATTCAGGAGACAGACATACAATCAGACTGCAGCTGGAAGGGACCAGGACATCAAGCCGACACTCATAATTCAGAAGACAGACATACAATTAGACTGCAGTTGGAAGGGGCCAGGGCATCAAGCCGACACTCAACATTCAGGAGACAGACATACAATCAGACTGCAGCTGGAAGGGACCAGGGCATCAAGCCGACACTCAACATTCAGGAGACAGACATACAAACAGACTGCAGCTGGTATCGCTGGATTGGGAGCTCTGTGCTGGCAGCTAAGATAGGAGACGGAGCGCTTATGGAAAAGCTCCAATTGCTGTGATGTCGTGTTCTTAACTCAGCTGAACTATCTAAATTATACTAATGTAGACTTTCTAACCACAACACCCATTTTGACATGATATGGTTGCGGTTTATTTGGAAACTGGTTAGTTAGTTCTACTTTCCGTTTGGGTCGATTTTTTTAGCGTAGATAATCACATTAGATCAAGCGAATAAGGAAAGGTAGCAATGCGGACAAAGGTGGAAGAACACGTCTTCTTCACGTCTTCTTCTGCCCGTTATCAAAACGGACAAAGCATATGCCCTCGACAAACTCACCCTGTGTTATCCAATGCTATCGCATACAGCTCACTCCATGCCTCTTTTACAAATTAACTTCTCGAAAGTTCTTTCTCAATAGGTTTAGTCTGCCTTTATTGCTTTTTGTCAAAAATGATTCCAATGCAAAATGACTACTAAATCGCCCGCAACCTGAACTATAAAGAAGGGTGCGCAACACCTAAGGTCACAAGCGCCGACTGGAGAACATTTTTCTTTAGAATGGGGGAGGGGGGGGGGGGAGGCGTTTGGCTGGTGGGTTTCTAGGCAACATTACGTCCAGAAGTTTAGCACTTCTTCTAGATGGTCGGCTCTCTATACCACTGTCAAAACGAACGCAAGGTGGTCTGCTACTTAATCACCTGTAGCTGGGATTGAAACCGACACCGCGGCATTACCAAGCGCGTTCGCAACGCATTAGCCAATGACTCCGACGGAGAACATATGAGACATATGTTAAAACATATAGAACATATATTAAAATTATAAAGTAAGAACACACAAAGACAGGAGAGCTGTTGTGGCACTAGGACACTAGTTAGAGGCAACATGAAGTAAGCCTACTACCACACCTAGAATGTCTAATTATAATGTCAAGCCAGTACTGATGTGTGGAGCAGAATGATTTAACTTTTTACTATCTGTGAGCAATATTCGGACAACGGCATTTAACAACCTGCCTCTTAGTGTTTGAACTTTCATGTTGTACGCTCTCGTTGCTGACAACATCATTGGATCTATTTCCATTAAACGACAAAACCATTTCATTCTTTGTTTTTCAAAGATTTTAATTATATACGTTGTTCCAATAGTTCTTGTAATTTCTTCGTTTTTCACATAACTCTTCTAGTTTTGTTCACGGTTTTTCTCAAAAATCTCATTTCGCAGATGGTCAGTTGTGTTTTCGTGTTCGTTAGTTGACGTCCTAGGTTGGTATGATGAGTGCTTGACTAAATATGTACATAGTATTAGTAGCACTTTTACCCCACCAGGATATCATACAAGCGATATACACCCGATGACACAAAGTGCCATCATGCGGATGAGGATCACCCGTGGAGAGGTCCCGGAAACGGCGTTTAGCCATTAGGCCATATTTATGGCCAAGCTATATTGTGTTCCCTGGCAAAAGCCAGAGTGGGGCTTCAAAATAACGAAAAACTGCATCCCAGAAGGGGATGACTGCGATTAATTTATCAATATGTACATGTACATTCTTACCTACTACTGAGAATTTGTCTTGTGGAATTTGTTGTGGTTTGGTTTTAGTCACTTCAAGTGACGCACGGTGGAACTAAAATACGCCCCCCCCCCCCACCCTCCCGCAGCACTCAGTGGCCTGCCAGTTTAGAAACTGCAACTGCTTTACCCCGGGCCTGCCTGCACTGGTTGACATGGGATAGGATATCAGGAAAGTTTATGTGATTACTTCGCGGGCGGCAGGGCACTTGTTTACGTAACGAGACTTCATATCAGGTGTGTGGCGTATGTAATCAAAGGGAGTGAAGAATATATTTATTTGACATTATAAACGCACAGGTCGCAGGCAACTACAGCAAGACGGATTGACAGACCGGCTGATGAGAGAACACACACTTACATTGAGACAGCCAGAGAGAGAGAGAGAGATAAAGAGAGAGAGAGAGAAAGAGAGAGAGAGAGGGGGGGGGGAAGAGAGAGAGAGAGACAGAGGGAGAAAGAGAGAGAGGATGTGCAGACATAAACTGTAAGGATCCTAAGGATGATAGAATCAGCACTTACAGTCAAATGACAGACAGACAAGTAGGCAGGTAGACAAACAGGCAGGCAGAAAGACAGTTCTTAATCATGTTTCTGTATATACCTGCTTATATGTATTTTAGACGTATTGTCTTGTCATATTTTCATGAGCGACAGAAACATATAGAGATGGATAAGGGTAGAGAGAGAAAGTGGGGCATAGGGATAATAAAACCCCAGTTTATCCAAGAACACACCTGTCCTATTTTCTTGTCAAACTTATCTTTGCTGTGGTAGTGGAAGCTCCACACCTCGGCCTCCACCCAGGCATTGTCGGTGTTATTGGGGTCGTCCATGTAGCCTCGGTACAGGAGCTTGCTGCTAAAACTGGTGGAAGCCGCCACGTTACGACCCAAGATCCCCGAGAGTATGAACTCGCTGCTGACGAACTGCCGGAAGAACTGTCCAGAGAAACGACAGACACAGGTCAGGTGGTGGCGGGGACCTCTAGCACCTTTAAGAACCTCACCCACCCACGCGTTTGTGTGTGTGTGTGTGTGTGTGCGCGCGTGGGGGACTAAGGGCAAAAGGGAGGTGTGTGTTTGTGAGGCCATTTCGATTGGAGAAAAAAAATCTGTAAGGAGCAAAGTGACTAGGGAAAATATTACAAACTTCTTAAAACATAAGCCCTGTGATTCAGCATTACCAGGTCTCATTGGTTTGAAGCAACTCTATGTGGCTTTAGCAAAGGGAGTTTTCATTTTTTCTTCCCGCTGTTGATCTCCGTTTTCCTTAACATATCTCTCCATGTACTCGTGTTTTAGGATGTTGCTAATCGTGGGCTGTATGATCACAATCATACCCCCCCCCTCCCCCAAACCATGCCACCCCACTATAGGCCAATGTTCTGCTGTCTTTCTTTGATTGCTATTTTTAAGAAAATTTAAAAGATCAGCAATTTCCTTTAATATCATATATTTTTAGTAATTTGTTTTCTGCTATATTAAAATCTCTGCATTGTCTATTAAACTTGTCATCTGAGTGAACACACGCATACCCCAACACAACACATACATTCACAAAGAGTTAATTCACAGAGGGAACTCACCTGACGATCGGACCTGAGTATACGAAACCGAGCGCAAAGAAAAATAAGAAGACGTAGAGTCGGTGATCAACAAAGTGCCACAAAGACATAGCTGAGAATTCAGTGATGCTTAATGCTTACAAGAATCATATCATCCTGGTCCAAGGTTAAACTGCCAGGGACATCTTTCTCCCCCAGTATGTCGCGCATGAACACCTCACACATGACGCTATAGTTGCTGGTTCGTCCACTCACAAAACCCTGTTGGTTAAAAACATTAGGGAAAACAATGGTATTCACTGTCTTATTCTAACAATAAAATGGAAGAGACAAACACTGCTCTTTAGCCCCATAATGAGAAGAGAGACATATGAAAATATTGTGACAACTGGAAAGATCAGTGGGAAAAGGGGTATAAGCAGGCCAAGAGAGATGATGCTGGATGGGCTGAAATGATGGCATGGAGTGATATCATCAAGAAAGCCGTTTCAGGCAACCAGGGATTATGATCTGTGAAGATGCATGAACGCCTACACCAACTGGCAAGGCACATCATGATGATGATTTTGACCACTTTGAAATACTTTTAAGATCTGCTTCATTCTACAAGCTAGACTCCACAGTGATACATGGAGCCGCATTTTGAATGTCTGCCGATATAGACAGATCCTGGTTCCCCACACAACATGAGATGGATCTGCTTGTTCTTACCAGCATAGGACTCCACGTTGCACTTGGCTGTGTCGCTGTTACGGGTGCCCTAATTATAACTTCTCTGGAGTCCGAACAAGGTGTCTGTGATCTCCCGTGTTGGTCTGCCATCTAGACAGAGATTGTTTAGTCTCAGGGGGGTATGTTAAATCTCTGGGTAGCAGCCCAGATAAGAAAAACTAATCAATCGATAATCCACTCAACATTAAAAACAAGGTTTAATTTAACTTCCTATAAATGAACACCTGGGTGCCTATATTTACACATTTGCTTCCTGGATAACTTTTTTGTATTATGTTTTTTCTGTTATCCAGTGTATTCTTTGCAGTGTCCCCAGAAACAGCATTTCTGATGCTGTCGAATGTTTCTCAGCTTACTCGCGTGTCTGTCACATGCTTACAACAGTTGAGATATATCACTTTAACGGATTAGTTCTCACAATACTCTGCATATGTCTTTCATGGTCTTGACCATGGTTTTTTTTCCCCTCTCCACATTTCCATACAAATAATTTCACAACGGCATCTCTCGTTCTAATCTTCATAAAACAATGCATCTGATGAAGGCAAGCATAAACTCAGTTGTATTGTTTCAAGCATAATACAGCCTTCATCTATCATCGTAACCTAGCTTCTTACATATTTAAATTCAAGTAACCGATAACCATCTTCAGAGATGTCCCTCAACTGTATGCTACAGCTTGTGGGAAGACACTGTGATTGGTCACAGAGCATCGGTGCTTATCATCATCAATAATTAGCATGCTTTTTACAGAACGTCGCTTTCTTCACGGCACACCCGAAGGTCCCTCCTCCTCTAGCCAATTTACGAGCCCTGTGTGCTTTCACAAATGCCCATCAGAAATTCTTTAAAATTCTTATTGAAATAGGCGCTGGACGACTGTTACATAAATTGAATTAGGCCTATTTAATCGACCTAAAAACCTGGCCAACTTGGGGGGTCAGGAAGTGATAAAACAGACCGGAGTGACCATTTTTCGCCCTCTTAGGCTCACTGGTTTTAGGACGAGAAACATGTAGTTCTGATTTGTCCGTTGCGTTCAATGATTTTACGCAACGTGGGTTGAGGTGTGTAGAGAGAAAGATAGGTTTCATCTATTGTAGGGTATTTCCTAACACGTTGTGAATTTTAATGCATTATTATTTGTGAAGACCTTAGATGATGTTCAGTGAAATAAATAGATGTGAATTTGATAATTATAGTTCCAGTTGCTTTGCTTCAGATTAGGGTTTGTGGTTAGTGTGTGTAGTTTGTTTATTTGTTACCAGTCTTATTAGACTTTACACAGAAGATCTTGTGTCTGGACTAGAAAATCCCTGTTTCTAGTCCCCACCTAAACGAACTATTTTCCTTTATTTTTTATCTTGGTACTTAGGGCTTCTCCACCCTAGTACAAATGGCGTCGTCGGCAGGATTGTAACACACACAAACCCCACTGCAGTTTCAACACCAGCTTTATTTTCTAAAGACTAAATTAGCCTACAAGTCCGCATGTACACACCAAGACAGCTAGCTATGACTACAAACTAGTGAAACTAGAATCTGGTGCGAGGAAACAGAAGCAGCAGCACGTCGTGTCGATGGAGTCAGGCCGCCGTCTGCTGTCTTGGTGTGTACATGCGGACTTGTAGGCTAATTTAGTCTTTAGAAAATAAAGCTGGTGTTGAAACTGCAGTGGGGTTTGTGTGTGTTACAATCCTGCCGACGACGCCATTTGTACTAGGGTGGAGAAGCCCTAAGTACCAAGATAAAAAATAAAGGAAAATAGTTCGTTTAGGTGGGGACTAGAAACAGGGATTTTCTAGTCCAGACACGAGATCTTCTGTGTAAAGTCTAATAAGACTGGTAACAAATAAACAAACTACACACACTAACCACAAACCCTAATCTGAAGCAAAACAACTGGAACTATAATTATCAAATTCACATCTATTTATTTCACTGAACATCATCTAAGGTCTTCACAAATAATAATGCATTAAAATTCACAACGTGTTAGGAAATACCCTACAATAGATGAAACCTATCTTTCTCTCTACACACCTCAACCCACGTTGCGTAAAATCATTGAACGCAACGGACAAATCAGAACTACATGTTTCTCGTCCTAAAACCAGTGAGCCTAAGAGGGCGAAAAATGGTCACTCCGGTCTGTTTTATCACTTCCTGACCCCCCAAGTTGGCCAGGTTTTTAGGTCGCTTAAATAGGCCTAATTCAATTTATGTAACAGTCGTCCAGCGCCTATTTCAGGGCGCCCAATCACTTCCTGACCCCCCAAGTTGGCCAGGTTTTTAATGGCAACCACGTGTATGGCTCCTTTATCACAGATTTTGGGTATGGTATTTGTCGCTTTTTTAGTTCTCCGACAGTTGTCAAATTAGTGTACTTGTTTTCAGTTATTGGTAGAGAAGGTGACTAGTTTTCCTCGAGTAGGTGTGAATCTTAGATTTAGAAATAGCTAGCCGACCCAGTGGGGCAGATTCAGTTGAAACTCCTAAGCAAGATGGAGGAGAGTACTCGTGCGAGCAGTAACGTGCACCATGAAGGTAGTTCTCCGACCTCGGTGGTGGAAGGGTCCTGTTTGCCAGACAGACCAGGGTACAGGCATGTTATTATGTTGCCAGAGCGCGTAAACATAACGCACTTTGATGGGACAGGAGGCCCCACGGTTACAGATGATTTTGTTCGACAGGTGAGAGCCTTGTTTAGAAATGAACGAACGTGTCCGGCAGACCAGATTGATGTAGTGCTCGATCACGTCACAGCGAGTGTCAGACAAGAGTTAAAGTTACATCAGACAGAGAATGCTAACGATTTGCTAGATATCATACAACACGTGTATGGAGAGCATCGAAGCGTTGTTGAACTAGCATCTGAGTTTTTTTCCCTACGGCACGGTGAGAATGAGACGATCCGTTGTTTTTCTCATCGTATGCATGCAGCATTCGAGGCGATAATTACCGCACAGAAGAAAGAGAACATGACGCTATTTGATACGTCGATCTTGAGAGATCAGTTTATCTTACAATTGCGAGATACGATTTGTAGAAAATTAGCTCAAGAGAAAGTTTACCAAGACCCAAGTGTGACTTTTCTATCTATCAGAGATTTTGCCATTAGATGGGTTCGTGATGATTTGTTCTTTAAGAAAGTGGTGTTAAATAATGAGTCAGCGGTGCAGGTGAATGCTGTGAATTCTTCAGTGTCGTCGAACGTGAAGGGTGAGTTGGACTTTTTAACATCTGAGATTAAGCACCTGAAAGAACATTTAGCTATGTTATCACAACAGCAGAAACGGCGTAAGCGATGTTTTATTTGTCAGTCGTCATCCCATTTAATGAATGCCTGTCAAAGAAGAACACCAGTCGGCGAAGTTCGGCACCCTTTTCATGTGCAGAGGCAAGAAGCGGCTAACTATAGTCAGAACAGAACTCGCCAAGTGTGGCGTAGGAGCCCACATGGCCCCGCTCGAGTCGTGCCCCCGGCAGATTTAAACGGACTCTCTTGTGTAGTTTCTTGTGAGAGGCCCGGTGATAAACAGGTTTGCAGTCAGAGTGACGCGCCGTCTAAACACACGAGGGGGAGACGGAGGAAGAAAAGTTTGCAAGCTCCTAGTGACGACTCGCCTGATCAAACACAGAACAACGAGAATTCAGTTCTGGTCAATCAGTTGTGCACTGAGTTATCTAGCAATGAACAGTCTACTTTAAAGACCGTTGAAACTGTCAGATACCAGGTCGGGGATAAAGTCAATTTAAAACTCGAACAGGAAGAAGGTGATACCAATGAAGCGTGGTCAGACGAAATTTATGTTATTCTTCGCGCTCCTACTGAGTCGCGACCACAGTATGTGTTGACTAGCAGACAGCAGAATAAACTGCGACTCTTAGTAGATGAGGAGGAGTTGAGGAAATGTGTTGCGAACCGTTGACCTAATTAGTTGTGTGCAGAAAGATCAGCTGGTCAAGGTGTGCCTATTGTTCGCGGTGTGGTTTGTGTGATGCTAGAAGTGTTTTCTTTCTATTGCGACCTAAGCTTGGGGTCAGATTATTTGTTTTATGTCTCCGTGACCGGTTTAACTGTAGGTCTTTTCATATAGGGAGTCACGTGTGAATTACACTGACCGACTGAGGTATGCAGTGAAGTTTTTATAACATTGCAGTGACCCATCAGTCCATTGTAAGCTCACGCAGAGCTGAGGTATGTCCAATCAGTCCATTGTAAGCTCACGCAGAGCTGAGGTATGTCCAATCAGTCCATTGTAAGCTCACGCAGAGCTGAGGTATGTCCAATCAGTCCATTGTAAGCTCACGCAGAGCTGAGGTATGTCCAATCAGTCCATTGTAAGCTCACGCAGAGCTGAGGTATGTCCGATCAGTCCATTGTAAGCTCACGCAGAGCTGAGGTATGTCCGATCAGTCCATTGTAAGCTCACGCAGAGCTGAGGTATGTCCGATCAGGCTTTGTCAAAGCTGAGGTAAAATGTTGGAAAGTCCTTTAAGCGTCACGCGGTGGTGACAAGGGCAAACTTCTTTGTGTCACGCGGTGGTGACCAGGGCAAACTTCTTTGTGTCACGCGGTGGTGACAAGGACAAACTTCTTTGTGTCACGCGGTGGTGACAAGGGCAAACTTCTTTGTGTCACGCGGTGGTGGCAAAGTGTGGTGGAAACAGTCCAATGTAAGCCCCGCGGCTGAGGTAATAAAAACAACTGAAAGAACCCGTCTACCAAGAATTGCTGGATGTCAGCGAGAGCAGCCACTCAAGAATCCTGATGTTTGCTGATCACAATGTATTCGATTATTTTTGCATTTTTGTGTTTTTTTATATTGCAGATTTGCTTGTTGTGTGTTATTGACGATTGTGTACATGTTAAAGATTCTGCAAGTAGCTAGAGATTATGTTATGTCATGAAAATAATTTTGTTTCTGTGGTCAATGCACAGTAAATGAAGAACAGGAGTTAAGGAAGGATTGGTAAACAATTATTGTTAGGTATTGTGTAGTTGTCGGGACGCCAACAGATTTGATGAGGAGACCTGAAATAGGCGCTGGACGACTGTTACATAAATTGAATTAGGCCTATTTAATCGACCTAAAAACCTGGCCAACTTGGGGGGTCAGGAAGTGATAAAACAGACCGGAGTGACCATTTTTCGCCCTCTTAGGCTCACTGGTTTTAGGACGAGAAACATGTAGTTCTGATTTGTCCGTTGCGTTCAATGATTTTACGCAACGTGGGTTGAGGTGTGTAGAGAGAAAGATAGGTTTCATCTATTGTAGGGTATTTCCTAACACGTTGTGAATTTTAATGCATTATTATTTGTGAAGACCTTAGATGATGTTCAGTGAAATAAATAGATGTGAATTTGATAATTATAGTTCCAGTTGCTTTGCTTCAGATTAGGGTTTGTGGTTAGTGTGTGTAGTTTGTTTATTTGTTACCAGTCTTATTAGACTTTACACAGAAGATCTTGTGTCTGGACTAGAAAATCCCTGTTTCTAGTCCCCACCTAAACGAACTATTTTCCTTTATTTTTTATCTTGGTACTTAGGGCTTCTCCACCCTAGTACATTATTATTTATTAATCTTCCTCTTCTGTTCTTCCACTCCACTTGTGCATAAATACAATGCTTGGACAATTGCACTGTGGTCTAACTGTGCAACCAAATAAAATATAATGTTCAGCTTCTGAGTATGTCAAAAGACACTTGCATAGCGAAGCAGAACACTTATCACTAACTTGAAGAGAAAATATATTTATGACAGATTTTTTTATGTTAGATACGTACAAATATGTTTAGCATTTCATACCCGATGCATCAATGGTGAGAGAGGAGTCCCTTACTTCACTTTTTGTTTAGAATGTTCGGTAGTGTGATGCTAAAATGATAAATTTGCTACTTTCTTTTGGTCAGCAATCAACATTTGTTATGCGACTTCCACTGGTATGGGTCCGTGACATTACTTTAGGGTGTCCTCAATGCCTCATGATTTATCTTGAAGGGTAGTTACTGGGGGCCAGTTTTTTTCTTTCTCTTCCTGACTGGCTAAATCTGAGATTTCTTTAGGCAATCACAACCACGTCTTCTTCTTCTTTTCATTCTCCTTGATCGACTCTAGTTTTCAGATGAGAAGTCACAAATGTCTATGAAGTCTGTGGCTCAACGTATGTCTCCCATTGTTCCATATAGCTTGGTTTCCATTACAATGCCGACCAGCCAAACCTGGGATCTACCTACTGCATGCAGAGAGCGTGTCTGTAGCAGGTTCAGTATTATGTAGTGCCTGTCCATATGGGTAACCAATCTTGAATTTCTTGTTTGTATGACTACAGAATCTGTTGTGTCCAGTGCGCAGTCAAAATATAATGGTCTGTTTCTTTCCTGTGAGGAAGTTGACTGGCTCTTCTGGATTGTGTTCCGGAAATTAGGTGTTGAAATGCATTCTAGTGGCTGCCTTGTTCTGAGTTTTATTGTTATGTAAAGCGCATCCTTGATCAAAACAACTGAAATACTGTCCAACTATAATCACCAGAGGTGTCAGTTTTCCCGTGCAGCAGCTCTAAGGATTGTCTCCAAAGTCATGCAAATGGCTACCAGGTTATTTTCTGGAAACTGCTTGAGAAAGAAAGGAAACTGGTCACCTTACCTCATCAGAATCTATGAATGCCTCACAATTCACACTCTAGGGGTACCATATGTTAAAGTGGTTGGCTGTAGTACACTCACTGCTTTCACGTGGAATATTAAGAGGCGATTTGACATTCTCAATAAGGTGTGACTCTCGTAGCATTTTCCAAGAACAGTCTTTTTTCTCAACTGTCTGCTGCAGAAATCGAACAATGGTAATAAAGGATTATGAAAATTACTCTTCAAGCCACAGAACCACTCTATAAAATGTGTGCCTTGTTCACCTTGAAGATTGGCTGCAGTGCACTTACTATTGTCTTTGAGAATATTACATAACGAAACCTCAATATCTTTCTCAGTGCAACTCTCATACTCATTAATACAGGGTCGTACCAATGTCTTCCACTATCTGGATGACGCCCTGCTTTTGCATTATGATCTGTATGAACATATGCGAAGTTTAAACAATTCTATTTGAATGTATTAGGTCGTTTAATTTCACAGTCAAATTTACCAAAGTAAAGGTTGCTTCCAAGGAAGTGACATTCCTAGACCGTGTTGTCAGACATGGAGTTGGAACCTTGACTAAAACGTTATTACTATTACTATTATTATTACTTTAAAAATAAAATGTCCCTCATCGAAATCCACATGATGCCAGATTTTTTCATAAACGACCTTGCTTCCCGGGTCGACCAAACCTTAAATTGGTACCAAGTGAAGTTCTGAGAAGTATAGTTGGCTGGCGTATGCTGACCACACCACCCATTGGACTATAAAAATATGAGATTAACCCCCATATGCCTGACGCGCTATTGGCGTAGAAAGGTCCATTTTTTTAACCATGGAAATCGAACCTATGTATGGCAAGGATTGTAAAACTGTGAAACACATTCACAAACCATAAAGAGGCACCATTTACATGTATTTAAATCTCACAGCATAAGTGTCAGTACTGACCCCAGGGAGAGAATCTTCCTTGATCATAGGATTGTTCACAACCATGATCTCCAACATTTTCTTATTGCCAACTAACAGTGGGCCCTGCAAAACCCCATCAGTATTGTAGGTGCTCTTCCAGCGAGATATCACAGCAAACATCATGTGGTTGGGCCCATAGCGCCAGAGATTGCCTCTGCCTCTCAAGCCAGTGCGACCCATGGGGTTTCTGAAAAAGTGAAGCACTGTATCTATTTAGTATTCAACTTTCTCTGACTTGTGCTTTCTTAGTCATACATGTACTGTTTCAATTGTGAGGTGAGGACAGGGGAAACAGACAGACAGATCCACAGACAGGGAGACTTTTTCAGTAATAGACAATTCACTACACTTTAACTCTTTCAGTAACCAACAACCCACCATACTTTAACTCGTTCAGTAACCAACAACTCACCATACTTTAACTCTCTCAGTTACCAACAACTCACCATACTTCAACTCTTTCAGTTAAAAGGTGAAACAGACAGACAGATCCACAGACAGGGAGACTCTTTCAGCAATAGACAATTTACCACACTTTAACTCTTTCAGTAACCAACAACCCACCATACTAATTCGTTCAGTAACCAACAACTCACCATACTTTAACTATCTCAGTTACCAAAATCTCACCATACTTCAACTCTTTCAGTAACAAACAACTAACCATACTTTGACTCTTTCAGTAACCAACAACTCACCATACTTTAACTTTTTTCAACCAAACATACTTTTAATCTTTCCTTAACCAATAACTTACCTTAATTTAGCTCTTTTAGTAACAAACAATGCACCATACTTCAACTATTTCAATAGCCAACAGTTCACTATAATTTAACTCTTTCAGTAACAAACAATTCACCATACTATTAACTCTTTCAGTAACCAAACACACTTTAAATCTTTCAGTAACAGACAACCCACCATATTTCAACTCTTTCGTCGCAGACAGATTTGATTTTATCACCATTTGTAATTTGTTACGTGTAATTTAAAAATGTTTTGTTCCCACTGAGAGTTTATACTACCTGTTGTGATTTTCTGAAGTTGCTGATGGAGTCTGAAACAATTAATGCACGCAAGACTGTTCTGCTGCCCATGCGAATGCTATGACAGAAGTTCTCTGACTTGTTTCCACTGGGCAATCAGCATTCAATAAACATCTTTAAAGAGAAAATGTCAGGGACTGTGGTTGTTGGTAGGGTTTTTTTTGTAACACAGGTATGCTTGCTACAGGTCTTATAAAAATATATATGTTCTGGCTATTTCTTGCAGACACCTTTTGGCTTTCTAATCTTGTTAATGTATACAAGGTCATTCTGAATGATTGCCAGGAGTTTAATGTTACTATAACAAAATAATTTAATGGTTATTACAGGTGGCATTGTAAATTTTTCAGAAAAGTCTAAAATTTCATGTTACTTTGTATGACTATGAGGCTTAAGAAGGCGCTGAAAAGAAAAGGAACACCCAGCATTTTAGAGAGCCTTTATTGTACCACTTGTGCGGTGTAGGCGGAAAGAGGGGGGGGGGGGGGGCGCTAGTGCTGTCACCACCACTGTGCAGGTAGTGATTTTTTTTTTGCCCCTGACAGAAAAATCCCCAGCCTTACCAAGGATTTGAACCCGCTTGAGAGTTCAGGGTTCTAAACGTTTGTCCAGCCGCTAAAGAGAGTGTCAGTACAGCAATTACAGCTGTAACTCTAGACATGATTCAGAAGATGTGGCACAAGACTGAATGTCATCTAAACATGACCAGAGCTACAAATAGGGTCCATATGGAAGTGTGATAAGGTAAGACTAAAACATTGATCTTTTCTGAACATTTTATTTTTTCTTTTAAAATAACAATTTAAAAATTCTGGCAATGATTCTTGATGACCCTGTGTTTTCAATGGTATTTTCCCTGTCTCCAAATTTAGATTACCTGGGCGCATCATTTGCGTCCACAGAATACTGGACAGGCTGATCATCCTTTATAATCCAGCTAACCCGGTCAGCAGTGAAGATCTCCCCAGTGACCGCCTTGTCTTCAGTCACAGCATTATATTTTGGTTCAAATTCCAAAACTTTCTCTGTGCCTGATTTGACTTCTGTGTCTATATCCTGCACCTCGCGCTTTGCCATCACTCTAAAGAAATAAGACAACCATTTTTGTAGCGTTGTAGAATATTCATACGTAAACAATATGTGAGTAGAGTCTGGCACGCAGCACGAAAGCACCCAATTCAACCATATCACTAAAACGCCTATTTCTATCATATCGCAAATAACTACAATCATACCCATCCCATACCAACTACTATTACCACATAACCTTTACTATTACAACTACTACCACTACACAACATGTACTACTATTACCACAAATACTACTTTTATCATCACATGACAAGTACTGCTACTAAGACTACCACCAAACCACAAGTACTACTACTGCTACCACATGACAAGTACAACTACTACCACTCTACAACTACTTCTACTACTACCACCACACCAAATATACTATTACCATCACTACTACTACCTCCATACCATAAATACTATAACAAATTTTATGCAAAGTATATTTGGATATGTTGAGTAATAAACAGGCTCATTGACTGGCCACTGTTGTGCCTCTGGGCGTTGAGCTACTTTAAAATAAAGTGGACAGTGTGAAGGCTCTCTGGGAAAATGCAACAATATAGAGTATCTATACTCTGAGATACTGGGTTAGCAGGGAATCAGAGGAAGGTCCGGGTGGTTTTCAACACACAGGGGAAAAGGCTGGTGGGCTTTTAGTCAGGTTGTGGCTGGCACCATCAGTATAGGAAGTCTATGTGGGCTGCTGAGGGAGGGGACAGGGCACAAATGGGAATGCACCAAATGCAGTAATGTCAATTTGAGATTCATTTATTTTTTCATGCACTACTACTACTACAACATCAACCAATACGACTGTAGCTGCAAGTGATGGTATCATAATTTTTGTTTCTTAATTTCTAATTAATAACTCAATCTGTTGGTCACAATGGTACGTGTGCATTATAATAGTGTAATCCCTAGCCACGACAGGATATTCAGTAATTCTGTGTTCTTGTCTGTTAGTTAATTAGTTAGTTAGTTTACAGATTATCCCCAATCGGCAGATTATCCTAACTGCACATCGAACCACTCAGTCCATAAGTGCTCGGATTCCCTCCCCAGTAAATCCCGCAGCGTGTAGCAGCTGACGACACCAGTCCTGTGTTGGTTTATTCTTCTTTGGCTACCAGCATTGTGTTCTTGTTTGACGACACTCCGTTTAGCTTGCAGTCTGACCATGGTTACAGATTTACAGTTTTTAACTGGTTCACGCAAACGTCTTAACTCTCTTACAGCATCCAGTATATCAACCTGATCCATGGCTTGTCCGGTTTTTACAGTTGCCTTACCTGCAAGTCTATCAGCTTGTGTGTTTTCTTGTATCTACACATGTCCTGGCATGAAAATGAAACTAATCCTTGTCAGTCGTGAATGCTGTAGAGCCACAAACCACTGCCTTCGAACCCAGCCCTTTTCTATCTTCCTGAGCATACTCATTGAGTCACTAAGAAAGCATGCCCCAGTGAAAGTCTGTGTCTCGAGTCAAGTTAATGCTTTAGTCACAGCCATTACCTCCATAGTCAAACTGCTTGTAGTTACGGCAAAAGCTCCAGAATCTTCCTTCACAACTCTCCCTCCAACCTGAGCCGTGAAAGCTCATGATCTTCTAGAACAGCGGATTACAAACCCATCTGTGTAAATGACAGCATCACCCTCAAGATAATTCTCAAAAATCAAGGCTTGAACTTCTGCTTCCACAACAGCTGGACTCTGTTGTTAGCATTTTCTGTCTAGTTGGATGCAAACAGAAAAGGATGTACAGCACTCTGAAGGCACCTGCACCCACTCCTCGCCGGGTTCTATGTCCTCAAGTGAACATACCTGTAAAATAATGTCCACGGCTTGACCCATCCACGATTTCCCTCTTTTTAACCTGCTGCCTATAATCTTCTTGATTTGACTATGTAATGGATGTTGTGTGTCCGCCTTGACTGTGAGGTAGGCACATGGTCAAAAATTATTATGTCTTCAATCGGAAAAGCTAGAAGTTAGCACATTGCCCTGTGTGCTGTATCTCTTGCGCTTGTCTGTAAGTGCAACAATTATGTGTTCTTGTCTGTAAGTGCAACAATTATGTGTTCTTGTCTGTAAGTGCAACAATTATTTGTTCTTGTCTGTAAGTGCAAGAATTATGTGTTCTTGTTTGTGAGCACAACAATTCTGTGTTCTTGTTTGTGAGCACAACAATTCTGTGCTCTTGTTTGTAAGTGCAACAATTCTGTGTTCTTGCCTGTAAGTGCAACAATTATGTGTTCTTGTTTGTATGTGCTACAGTTATGTGTTCTTGTTTGTAAGTGCAACAATTCTGTGTTCTTGTTTGTAAGTGCAACAATTCTGTGTTCTTGTTTGTAAGTGCAACAATTCTGTGTTCTTGTTTGAAAGTGCAATAATTTTGTGTTCTTGTTTGCAAGAGCAACAATTTGGTCTATCATCTAACATGCTGTAGACGCCGAGTGAGGAATTAATAACAAAGTCAGCTTAGGTTTAATCATAATGTGTATATACGGCACAGAACAGATTTTTAAAGTTCTTATAGTTTCTTACTTAAGTGTGCCATCAGTATTAAAAAGTCCCCCTTCTTCAAAAGATAGTAGGGTATTTTGTAACCCCAGTATATGGATAAACAGGGTATCCTGGATGGGTTTTTAGTAGATTGCCATCCGAAAAGTGGCTTCTTAGTCAATAAGTGCCAAACCTCCAGGGGGCAATCCCAGAAGAAAAATTCAAAAAACAAATATTAAGCAGATGTGGGAGCCATCATGGTGTAGTGGCTAGATGCTCACCTGCAGGTCACAGGTTTAGATCCGATTGGATCCAGACTTTTTATTTTTAATTGAATTTGGTTCCCAAATCGATCCAGCCTAAACTGGCACCAGGTAATGACATTTACATTTGAAAAATTAAGCGCAAAAACATTTCCATTATGAAAGTGAAAGAGTGAGAGAGAGACAGAGTGAGAGAAAGATAGCCAAGGAGGAAAGATAGATAATGAGGAGAGAAACAGAGGGAGGGTGGAAAGAGAGGAGAGAAACAGACAGCTGCCAAAAAGAGAATACACATATATATTTACTCAATCAAATCAGGGTCCACATAAATACGTATATCCTCATCATAATCCTCAATTGGACGGCTATATATCGGTGGGTCATATTCAGGGTAGTTCTCCTAAAATGTCAAACAATGGAGATTGTGGCAAAGTGATGAAGTTTTTTTTTTTAAAGCTACCTCAGATATTGTTGTATCTTCTTCCTCTTCTTCTTTTGTCGCCTCACTGATACCAGGTTGTATCTCAGTTTCATGGTTTTCTGTATTTGTTTTGCACTTCTCGATGGTTTGAGTGATGAATTTTTTTCATCTTTTTGCAGGTTTCATCTACAACATTTATTCATGTCTTTCTTGGTCTTCCTCTCACTTTCCTCCCAGACGTTCTACTGTAAAAAGTCTCAGCTGCAGTCTGGTCTGATTGCATTCTCACTAGATGGCTAAACTATTTAATTCTTTTCCATAAAAATAATCCAGACGTGGTCTTATTCCAACTTTTTCTCTAATGCTGGTTGGTATTCATAACCCTGCTTCGTCTAGTATTGTTAGTGATCTTGCATTGACAGCGCATTTCACATGTAGTTATATTCGGTTCTAGTGCCTTATTCACTGTCCATGTTTGGCACTGATAACATAAAGTAGGGATAAAAATGCTATTATTCATTTGCTGTTTTGCTGGAAGGGAGACATTTGGGTGTCTAAGCAGTGGGGCTAACTGGTAGGTGACAGCATTTGCCATCTGTACTCTGGCCTCTATTTCTCTGCTGAGTCTGCCATCCTTTAAATTTTCATACTTGTTTGACTGTAGTACCGTCAACGTGGACGTTCATGGTATTATGTAATTGTTCTATGATCATTTGAATATTATATGGATAACCTAGGACAGGAACCTTAGTACAACAGCAGCTAGACACTTCCATGCCAGCCTGAAGGTCCCCGGTTCGAATTCGCACCAGGTCAGATTTTTAATAACTGGCATTGGCTCTCAAGTTGACCCAGCTTAAAACTGGTACCAGAAAATGTCCTGGGAAATAAAGATTGTCAGAGTGGTGATGCCTATTGAGTCCTAATTGGTTTATAACATCTAGCAGATTTTTCTCTGTATTTGAGCAGTATTTATTTAATCCTGCCTGTCCAAAAGCATACCGATGATCAAAACCTTTGTCTGAATTTAAAGAAAATTAAGGGAATTTACACAAGTCAAAACTGTATGTCCCCCTACCCCCTCCCCCAAACATAAAGAAATTGAAAATGTCACAATCTTTTAATATCTAGGTGCTATAATAAACAGCAATGAAGACTGTTCAACTGTTAAAATGAGGATAGCCTTAGCAATGCAAAGATTAAACAGAAGTTAAAACCTATATCTAGGCATAGACAAAGCTAATCAGTCAAAATTTTGAAAGCATGCATCTTCCATGTAGCAACATATATATAAATGTAAGTCATAAACTATCTTGCAATCTCTAAGGAAGAAAAATTAGGCTTTTGAGCTTCAACTTTCAGAAAGATTTGTTTCTGCACATGGATGCTTTGCCTACTTAATTTACTTATAATCTGAATATGTACAACGATCACTACAAACCCTCCTTGCCAACTATGAGACTGAGATGCTCCTACTGACCTCCCAGGGTAAGTATTTGTCAAACACTGCAAATCGTCTGATTGATGTTGCTGGATATGGTGACCTCCTGCAGTGGGTGTGCTGGCTCTCAACCAGGGATGACACACCGGAACCTTGAGACTTTTTCTTGGCTGTAGAATTAAAGGTATATAGTTCACCCTCAAATTATCTATTTTTTCCTCTGTTTGTGTTGTGCGTGCACAAATGGTGCATATTGTCATTTGTGTATTAGTAAAGTTGTCAAAGCTACCACAAAACTGAGATTGTGAGAGTGTTTTATTAAGCTTGGCTTTTGTTACTTTATTTTGGAACAGCGCTTTGATATATTAACTCTACCAGACCGCTGGCCTGCTATTACGGGAATTTCCTAAACTGCCGCTAAACCGCTGTCCCCCAATATCGGGAATTTGCGTACTATGAGAAAACAATGCGTTACAAACTAAAAATAACTAGCCAATTGTAATCAGATCTCGTGGATAGTCTTCCTAGATGTGCCCGCACTTGTTTGGAAAATATTTGTGCTGCTTTACATGAAAAAAATTCTGAAAATTCGCAATAAAACGAGTGGCTGATGAACCAAGCACTTCGACAGGAAAGTGAAGTAGGTTTAGGCTTTTCACAGTCCAACAGGTGATCGATACTTTGGTTGATTCAGACTCTGCGGAGTCATAGTTTCATGAAGAATATGTTCCCATTTTAAGTGACACAGTCAATGAGAATCTTGAAAATTATAAATCTAGAAATAGATCGAAAGTAGGAAAAGGGGGTGTATCCCTCAAACAGCAACATCTAGTGTTCACTTTGTGAAACAAAGTTGATCCTGCTGGGTCGTTTAGCACACAAAGGTGGAATATTGGCGCTAGATAAAAGGTTAACTTATTGTCTACAGTGTCTCCAAGTTTCATCTTATTCTAACCACTTGTTTGCATGTAACTTTTATTTTTGTATATCATGTTGGTTTTTTCGCGTTAATGCCCAAGAGCTCGGGTATAGGAGGCAGTTAGGTCAGGGCCTCAGGTCTGGTAGGGTTAAACTGTTAAGCCAGATGATGATGAAGTTAAGGGAGATATTCTAATCTAAGGAAGTTATAGCTTTATGCCCTCTGAAGCAAGAGATGCTTGGGGCAGAGGGAGGGGTAGGGGGGCGGTGGGGAAGACAAGCAAATACTGCCTGTAGTGTGGTTTTACTAGGCAATTTTGTATTCAATAATTTGCTGTTACTTTCTGGATGATGTAAAGCTCATATCACCATCAGTTTGCTAGTAACCAAATGCAGCTGACTTAAGATAATTAAAGAAAGAGCGCTATGAAAATCCTTCCTCAATAGTTTGTTATTAGTTTTACACAAATAGTTTCAGTTGTTTGCCCTTACTTGTTATCAATTTCCATCCTTGTTATTTTCAGCACACACAAAATAATTATCTAATAGGTTTCCTAGAAAGAACAGTTACAGTGCTCTTTGAAATTCATCAACTACACTCTATGTGAACCTTGAGAGAGAACTGTACACACAACACTTGTGATTAATACCTAAATATTATATCAAGAGACTGTTTATTCATCAAAGCACCAATGCATTCACTTTCATGCAAGGGTATTTTTCACTAACTTGAACTCCTGGGATGACCCAGCCTAAATAAAAATACCAAATACCCTGAAAGCAATACTTTACTGTAATTTTGTAATATACAAAACACCAAGAGAGTATCCTATCATCTGCTAGAAAATACACAAGGCAACCTACAGGCAGATTCCAGAGCATTCTGCATATTCTCCATCATGAGGAACATACTAATCTGACTGTTCATAACTTCCACCAGCCGATCATTCAAACTGCTGATGTATCTGTCCTTGTTCTTCTGCTCTTTGGCAATGACAGTCAGTCTGCAAACATGACACAAGTTAAAGGTGGAAGTTAAGAGGGTGACTTCATGCACTGGGTTTTATCCGATATGGCTCAGTCTCTCTCAGCAGAACAGCTAGCCACCTGTCTAGTGCATCATACAAAGCAGGAATACAACAAACAAACCCTGGGGGTCTCCATCCCCCCCCCCCCCCCCCAAATCAGAATGACATAGCTGCGAAACAAACTCAGCATATTAGGCAAACGTCTTGACCACTTCAACAGGAAACCCCACTCATGTAACAAGTGCTGACAGATCAACAACAACAACAACAAAGATAAAAAAATCCGTTTTGGGGTGTAGTGGGGAAAAGGTGCAAGTCCCACATTTTTTACAAACTGGTAATGGAAAAGCAACCTGGCCAATATCTTGTATATACCTGCCACCTTTACTTTCTGTAACATTTCCTGGCAATCATTGTATTACTTGCCAGATGATAAAGATGTTTTTTCTCTACATTGACTTGGTATCCGACGTTCTGTATTAATTCCATTGATGATATATCTCCCTACAACACTGAGCTGCAGATTTCATTTGACATGCTTTTGGACTGTGCCCAATGTAGTTTGAGTTGTGAGTGAACTGCAGATTGAGAAAATGGCGAACCGCCTGCTAACACAGAATTGGTGGTTCCCTATGCGATTAATTGCCTGTGCAACCAGTGATCTGTTGTAACTGCTGCTTCCACCGACCACAGACTGCCTTTCTAGTGTTGGACTGCTTTTGTTAGTTTTTCTGTTACCTCCCTTTTTGTTTTATGTGTGCATGTGTGGTCGAGCATGCGTGCAGGCATGCACTATTGATCCTGCTAAGACTGTTGTCTGTGACAATTTTTTTCCACAAGGGAAAGTGACATTCTTTGAAGGTTTTTTTTTTTGGCAGAGGAATGGAGTAACTATGGTGTGACCAGTCTGCCATGAAGTTGGAACTGCTATTACCTGATTATCCAATCTCCATGCTATCTTCTTAGACTATCTGGCCACTTTTACTTCCCTTAATATTTGCTGGTAATCATCATCATTTGACTTACTAGATGATTCAGAGGCTACTGTCTTTCCACATGTCTCAATATTTGATGTCCCGGATCAGTTCCACTGATGATATCTCCAAGTTATCATCTTAGACTATCTAGAATCATTGATGTTTGTCTCCGCTACCACTGATCATTTCCACTATAACTAAAGTTAAAAAGTAATTTCAAGAGAATCAACTTTATTGTACCAGGTTTTAACAATAATGGTTTGGTCTTTTAAATGTTACATCTATCTGCTTTGTGTGCATTTTAAATTATACATCTATCTGCTTTGTAACCATTTTAAATGTTACATCTATTTACCTTGTGTCCATTTTAAATTATGCATCTATCTGCTTTGTAACCATTTTAAATGTTACATCTATATGTCTTGTGTGCATTTTAAATTAAATATCAATCTGTGTTGCATCTCTATCTACCTAGCTACCTACTAGATCCATCACATCAATGGCCCGTTAATAATCGAAATATGATAAGCTTCGCTGCATTTCTTTTTCATTTTCTGCAAAATTAACAACAGCATTTACTGGCTGCTGTGTTGTTTCACTAGGCACTGCTACATTCTGTTGTTTGACACTTCTGAATGTCATGGCACTCATAGTGTTCCTGCAATCAATATAAATCAATATGTTTCTAAACTGCCTGCAGTTGACTTCAAACCCTGGTATGTCTGGATTGTTAAACTGCATTCACAAGCCCCTAAGCCATAGTCGCTAACTTGAATATTTGCTCTTTACTGATTGCAATATCACCATTGTGTCATTGCCACTTTAAGCACTTTCAGGGATAGAAGATCAGTTTGCATTCTGCCAATCATCTTCTCCTAACTCACCAGGCAGCACATCATTACTGGAGAAAAAAATACAAGCTCTTTTTGATACCAACAATGGATAAAAACAACATAACAAGATGAGAAAAGTTAAAAACAATACTGGGACAAATAAACTGAAAAGTGAAGCAGTTATGCAAAGATATTATTGACTTTGAGATTTAAAAAGAGAAAATCCAAAAGATAAAGTAAATACCTAAAAGATAAGTTAAACAGAAGTTGTAACATCACAGCAAAGTTGAAAGTTAAAGTCGAGATGAAAAACATCACTGCACTGGGTTTTATCCATTATAGTTCAGTCTCTCTACGTAGAATGCTGGCTGCCTACTGACACCTTTGCATAAAACACCACACAACACTTACCTATGCTCTGTATTTTTGTTCTCATTAAGTCTGTCCATTGCCATTCTCTCTTGTTTCTTGTGCTGTTTGACAAAGGCATTCCAAACATTATATTTTTCCTCTGTGACCTGTATGTTATGGAAAGTGATCAAACCTCTGTCAGGTCATGAATATCCGAGTTGTAATAATATAGTTCAACAGGAACAAGTATACTTAAATCTCTGCATGCACAGGTGAGAAAATTCTATACATTAAAGATTGAAATATTGAAATATGCAATGAACTTTTTTAAATCAGTGTATATATATGTATATGTATATATATATATAAATCAAAGTTTGTGTTTGTTTATGAGCTATAGACTCGGAAACTACTGAACCGATTTAGCTGAAATTTTCAGGATATGTTTGTTTTGATACCGGATGTTCACCCATCATGGTTTGAAATTCAACCTGTCATTGTTAGAGATAGTTTGCAACAATTTAAGCAAAAATATTCGAAACTAATACTTAAATTGTTAGTGACATCTAATTATAGCCACGTTTGTAATTGCGCATGCGCCGTAGTCAGAACGCAAGACTTCCACCATTCGCCGGCGAGTTACGTGCAGCCAACGCCTTCTCTAATACATAGAATAGGTCGTGGTACAGCAAACAAGACTATCTCTATATTTGTGTAGGCAGTGATTACCACAATAACCATATTAAACACGATTTCTATTTTCTGTTTTTTTTTTTCAAACAACCTTTGTTGGGGAAGGGGGGCATCAAGGACTATCTCGACGTCGACGCAGACATTGACTGCGACATTAACTTCATTAACCGTGTTAGAGATTTCTATTGTTGTGCCGTTTCATTAATATATCTGGAGTATCTGTCTATGGGAAAACAACTGCCTGCGGTTTTGAGTTGTGTTATAATCGGGGCACAGTAGTAGGGACACACATCTCTAATAGTTTAGTTCTCTTTTCGTTGATCCGATGAAGTGCCTGCTTGGTCGAATGGTAATAACACTGGGTTTCTGTGCGGGAGACCATGGTTCGAATCCACAGTAGTAAATTTTTTTTTATCCGGAATAAAATAATATCCTCATCTGGTCTGTCGTGGTGACAGCACTAGCCATGTTGCTCTTAATACTAAAAAAAAAAGTAAATTGGTAAACCATTCTGACCATTTCGCATACTTATGATTGCATTTTTAAACTTTCCGATTGCATGGTTACGCTGAAATTTCATAGCTTTCCATTTATTTTCATTTAGATTTAGTTATTCATCTTCGTTGGAATTTTAAGCTGTGCTGTTTATCATAGCGTTCATTTCCTAATTATGGTGTTTTTTCCTGTTTTCATTTGCTTTTCAAGTGTTTTTTTTTCTCCAAACTACTTCAATGAGGGAAAGAGTTGTCGGTGAATTTGAGAGAGGGGGGGGGGGGGCAAACTGTTAACTGAGAGAGCTTTAAGCCACAGTAACTGCTTTACCCACTTAAAGTGGGTAGATTATAAGGTGCGTGTTCTAAAGTTGGAAAACCAGACTATCTCTATATTTGTGCAGAGAATGATTGCGACATTAACTATATTAGACACGTGCGATTTCCATTGTCTTTCTTTTCCAAAAACCTTCGATGAGGGAGAGAGTAGTAGGTGGATGTAGTTGTGGAGGTGGGGGGGGGGGGGGGGGGGGGCGGGGGATCAAAGACTCTCTATATCTGAGCAGACAATTATTGTATTAGACACGTGTGATTTCTATTTTCTTTCATTTCCATTTAGCCAAACTATGCCACAGCAACGCCTGGCCGGGTACAGCTAGTATATATATATATATATATTTTAATACTTTTTCACCATCATTACACACAATGTAAATAATGTCGTCCCCATGTCAGATGCAATTTATTTCGTTATTTTGAAGCCCCACCCCGGCTTTTGCCAGGGTCCGCAATATAGCCTAAAGGCTGAACGTGGTTTCTGGGACCTCTCCACGGGGGGACCCTCATCCACGTTTGGCACTTTTCGTCACCGGGTGTTTATCGCTTTGTGTGATGTGCTGGTGGGGTAAAAATTTACTTACTTACCATCTTTACAATTATACTTATGTGTCAGTATGTGTCGCATAGTGCTCTCAGTTGATTCCTCCTTTCCCTTATGTAGCAGAACAATATCACCTTGCGTGTTTTTGTTTTTTTTAAAGAAAAAGACCATTCTTGTGGATTTTGGACAGTGGTATGTGAATCACAACATGGGAGAGATTGGGCCCAAAGACAGAAATTATGCACAGCAGTGCAATCAACCCTCACTGTGGATATGGCATCATTAACTCCTTGAGTCCCAGTGGGTTTAGCTTCACAAGCCCAAGGGGTAATCATCTGTAAATGGGGCTTCTAGGTAGGAACCTGTATGGTGCATTCCTTGGGAATCAAAGAGTTAAATGCTGGTGTTTCCTTTATATTTTGTCATCCCTCAACGAAAAGCCATTCCAGATAACAAGCCTGATAAAGTACACTATAAATGGTCATGGAATAATGGTTTCAACATTTACTGCAATAGATCAACAACAAAAAATAAAATATATCTTTTTATAATCTTTAAAATTTTAAATAATTACTGAATATAATTTCAAAACCTTATTATGTAGCATTTTTTCCTAAAAATGACCTAGGCTGCCTGATAAACCCAGCCTAAAATTGTTACCAGGTAAAGTAAAGAGATGTTAACCAAATCACCCAAAAGTGCTGATTGGCCTATAAAATATAAGTCTAGCACTATATATCTAACATGCCTCACAGCATGGAAAATGGTTCATTTTCTACTGAGTATAATGACAGTTTGAGAACAGTATAAGAACAGTTTGTCTCTTTCTTATTGTTGTATAAAGAAATCTACTTTTATTAGCTTACATCTATAACAGAAGTACTTATTCACTCAAACGTTACTATACCTTCTCTCTTGGTCTGCAAAATGGGCAGTAAGTCAGAAAACAATGATAGATGTAGATCAGGATTGCCTTGATGATCACAGCTGGGTAGACTAGCACCACAAACGGAATAGGCACAGGTGGGCGCCTCATGAACTCCTGCACTAACATGAAAAACTGATATTTCCAGATCTCCATAACTTTCACATATGTCCTTCCCATGGTTACACTGTGAGGAGATCAAATGTGGACAAAGGTTGTGGTCATTGGGTGGTATCACTAAAATGATGTGAGATGAGATCCAGGTTTGATCTTTTGTAAGCAATGGAGATATTTTCTGTCAGAATCTCAACAAGCACAGTTCATAACCACTATATTACCCATGCGACTTTAAATATTCAGGTTTACGACCCTCTCGTCCGACACCACCTAACATGCTAAACACAGGCAGTTAAAATAGAAGCCACTTTTCTTTGTGGGTATCCCCTGAAGAATGGTGCCTTCTTAGTAGCCATGTAGGGGGAACTGAATAAGAGAAGGTCCAATGATACTGATGAACTGTAGTACTAGTGTTGTAGATATAAGGAGAGATGATCTAGCTGAAATCAGTATGAGGTTCCTCTGGGTACAATCCTTTGTTCTTTATCCTCTTAAGTGAAACAGATCCCCCCCCCACCCCGTATTACCACCACCATCACTATGATCACCACCATCACCACCACCACAAAGTGGTGCTTGTTAAACTAGAAACTAGCAGAATAACTAGCCTAGAATTGATGCCTTTTGCTGACACAATGCACATCTGCCCCTTAGTACTCTTTATAGATATTCAATGACATCTATTCAAGAATCAACAAGCCCTCTTGCTTGGTTCCTTGTTAGTCCAAAATGCCAGAACCAGCACTCATGTCTCATGCATACTTTTTTTTTAAAGATCTGTGTTACAATCCAGCAAACATAACAAGTAGGCGTAACAACTCAAATAAAGGACACAAAACTGGAAGGTAATTTCCTAGGCACAGTGATATCTTGCTACACATGTTGGAGTTATTAGACAAGCTAATGGACTTCAAGTGTTTTGTGATCAGTGGATTTCAACTGTAGTAGTAGCGGCCATGAATTGAACTACATAATAAAATCACCAGTCTTGAAAGAGACTAAAAAATATTGTTCCTTCAAAATATTCTGGCGGCTAGTACCTTAACATACCACTTCAATAAAAGCCCTGGCATTAAACTGGCACCAAACAAACAAAAACATGTCACTAACCTACAGATGGCAAAGATGAGAGTGTTGTAAACAAGCTTAGTCTGGAAGATGTAAGCCAGCACAATGAAGTAGCCCCCTGCGCTGGTATGTGGGCAAGTATTGATACTATCCTTAACAATTTCTGTTCAAACAAAATAAACAAACATTGTTAATGTTAACCTTAATTCTCCATCTAAAATTTATTGGTCACAGTATGCAGTAAACAACAAATCAAATAAAGGACCCTTTTCACACCAGGGGTGTTTTGGGCATATGATGCTTGACTCACATTTCTGAAGACCATTCTGCACTTGATGGGTCATGTGGTCAACATCATGCCAGCCATATTTACTTTCCAGGAAGCTACCTGGTTCATATTTAAACAACTGGGCGAAGCTGCCGACAGAGCTTTGAGCTGGCTCTGGACGCAGGGGAATGTTGTGGGGGATGGGTCTCAGTAGACTGGTCCAAGTCCATGGTGGAAAAGAGCTTCTTATGCCTTAAGCCAAAGCGTCCGATAAATATCTGCCAGTGTCTCGCTGCCAAATGCCAAAGTCTAACAATTGTCTGATAAACAAACCATTAGCTTGTCACTCTGGTTGTGAAGGTAGTCAACTGATCTAATTTGCTACCCCAGTGACAATATAACACCAAATCTCAAAATGCAAAGTCACCATATCATTTTGTCCCTGTCAAGTCCGATAAAGTACAGCAGGGGAAGATCAAGGCCTGGAATCATGACCCAGGTCAGGCCCACCTTCCAAGATTGTGTAAAAATGGGCAGAAACAATCGTCGACGAAGGATCTTTCTACTGATGACGGTGAACCCCTGCTGTGCATTTTGTCCTGTGGAGTTCTTCTTATTTAGGCTGGGTCAATCTATAAGCATGGTCAATTGTATGATATACATAAATCATTCAAATTACCTGTTTAGAGAGCATATCATTTTCACTGAATAGAAAGTATATCCTTATTCTGTTTGTTTAAAGACAACTGAAGATTGTCTTATCCTTAGCTATTCTTGCTCAGAGGTTTTATTCTTTTTTGTTTTCTTGTTAAAGTCCATGCCATGTGGCACTGGTAGTCATGTTTATCAATTCTGACACAGTTAACATGCCATGATGTCAAACTGTCCAGCATCTTTTGCTTAGTCTGCTGCTGGCTCTTCCTTTTTAACTTTCCTACCATCACGATGTACACCAGTTTTCTCCTTCCTATGACCAAAGAATGTAGATAGTCTTTTATTTTTATATATAAAAAAACATACACCCACACATTGCACATCCGCACACACATACACACACAATTCAGACAAAGCTACATGCCAACCTCAAATTACAATTTGCAATGAAGGTATTGCCAGTGTCAGAAACTTTGAATACACTGACTGCAAAATGTGTGACACATTATATATAAACTACACACAAGATAATTAAAATAAAAATAATAATTGTTAGCGAAATAGGAAGCTTTCAAATGGCAACTGTGTTTTTCAAGAAATTAAACGAGGAAAAAGAAAAGAATATACTTTTTATTTTTGCTTACAATTTCCCAAAAGTGGAAAACTGTTCTTCTTGTTCGTCTCCTCCTTCTTCTTATTCTACTTCTTTTTATATTCCTCTTCTTGTTCTTCTTCTTTGCATTCATTGGCTATAAAACTGTCAAAGGAACGTCAGTCTGATCTATGTTGGCCAGACACCATCGCCCCCCTCTAAGTTACGGCGCCGTTACTGCCTGTGTTTACCATAGATACAGAGGTATCTGAGCTCCTGGTTGGGAGCACCTTTGCATCCCAAACAGTGAAAACAATAAATATATGTTTATTCGTCGATCATGAACACTAAATAGTCATGCAGTAAACATACAAAATGTACAATGCTTACTTACGTGGTATTTCAGTATCTGAAAGGCACAGGTTATACATAAATATAAGGCCAGAGAATAGTTATAGGGTAAAAATTATGCCCCTCAACAGTAGAATGAAGAAATTTGTTTTATTAGATCTTACAACATCTCATTCTAGTTCATTAAATCCGGATTTGTTTCACCATTTGGTTTGTTTTTTATATCCCTGATCCTAGTTTTTAAAACCAATACTGCTATTTCTGTTCATCTCTACCACTTTTGTGGTGTCAGTAGAGGTGGGGTAGGGATGTCTCTGGACCTCGGATACAGGTTCAAATATCTAGTTTTCTTAGACAAGTTCAATGGTCCTGAAGACCCTTATGTGGAGCTGTACCGGTTAAAAGTTTCTTGACATGTCCGTACACAAATTAAAAAGATGAACTAACTGAACAGGCCTTTGCCCAAGCTACATTTCAAAATGAGGAAAACAAACCCCCCCCCCCCCCCCTCTTTTCCCCCCAAAAAAAGAGCAATGATGGCATCAGTTTCTTGTAAACATGCACATCTGGACCTTTGCTTGAGCTAGCTGCTTCAGCACTATGTTGAGATTCATTTTATGACCAACAGAAGAAGACTGTATCTGTATAGTGATACCTTTGTTCAGGGAAAGTGATCCTTTGCCAAAATCATGCCAGTGTTTCAAGCTAATTGTAAACCTTTTCTTCTTTGAATTATTTTCTTGTTTAACATAGATCTGTCTTGATTATGACTTTCCCCGTGTGGATTCTGGAGCCCCATTGTGGGGGAAAACAAGAACAGACCTACTGCCTCCTCAACAAGCATGTTGTAAGAGGAGACTAACTGGGGGCTTATTTTGAAGTCAGAGTGCATCTGCCTGAGAGGCAACAAACCAACAGTCTGCATACAAATAAGCTAGATCTGTAAAACAGATGTGCGAGCAAAACTAAACTTCTTGAACAAGACACTTATCGCTCTTAGAAGTAAAGGTGATCAGTGCGGAATTCAGCACATCATCCACCTAGTGCCAATTGATCTATGAAGGTTTAGGTTTTAGGTTTAGATGACGGATCAACATTAAGGAACAAGGGTAGTAACCCTTAACTGCTCTGTTCTACTTCTAACTCAAGCCTGGGTCTGAAGAATTTCAGCGCAGTGCATGAACATAGCACAGGCATAGATTCTCAAATACTTTGGGTAGATTTTTAACTCTAAATGTTGTCTGGGCAGCGTCGTTATGCTACTCTTTTTTCTATTTCCAACTGCGAAGAGATTTTTGATGTGCACAATAAAACACAAGGGTGTCCGATATCCTAGTTGAAGGAAAAAGACTTAATCAAGTCAATAAATTTAAATATCTGTGAACAATCATATCATCAGATGGAAAATGTGTGACAGAGATTAAAAGCAGAATAGGTCAAGCGGAAAGCTGCATTACAGAAAATGAAAAATATCTTATGCAATAAATCGCTCTCATTTAATGTCAGAAAAAGGGTGCTAAAATGTTACATAGAACCTGTTCTGCTGAATGGCAGCGAATCTTGGAATGTCACCAAACAAATTAGGAAAAATTTGGAAGCAACTGAGATTATTGTTACGAATACTTTGTACGGCCAGAGTAACTAACAACGATTGCTTAAAAGAGGCTAATGAAAGTAGATCTCTAAATACAACAATAAAAAAGAGACAAACACTGTTCTTTAGCCATATAATGAGAAGAGAGACCAAGAGAGATGATGCTGGATGGGCTAAAATATCATCAAGAGAACTGTTCCAGGCAACTAGGGATCATAATCTGTGGAGACATGTGAGCGCCTACGCCAGTTGGCAGGGCACATGATGATGATGATGATGATGTCCGATCTTACTAACCAGAAACCAGGGAAAATTACTAAAAGTCCACATGCAAAAATCCCAGTCTTCACTGGGGCTTGAACCCGGGACCTCCAGCACTCGAGGCAGATGGCATGCCTTAAGACCACGCAGCCCCCGAATAATCTATAAAAATAATCTAAATCATATTAGTCTATCATTGTATGTCATCATCACCGTCATCATCATCATCAAAAACCACTTCTGCCATTAAGCTTCGTGGGGAGGAATAATTTGTGATCCAGTGCACGTTGGCTGCCACTGGCTATTGTCATGCTGTGAAGGCGTAGAGTGTCTTTAATGTTGTCGATCCATGTTTTCCGCGGCCGTCCTCTTGCTTTTGTAGCTGATCTTCTGAGATGTAGTGCTTGTGATGGTATTTGATCTTGTGGCATTCTAACAAGATGGCCAAACCACTTAATCTGCTGTTTCTCAATGAATCTAGTACAAGGTGTCGTTCCCACAGTTTGCCTGATAGTTTCATTATTCACTTGATCTCGGATGGTTAGTTTGGCTGCTTTTCTCAGGCGCCTAATCTCGCATATGTATATGGGCTTTAGATAGTGTCCATGTTTGGCACTGGTAGCTTAATGTTGGAATGAATATGCTATTAATAATCTGTCTCTTTGCACTCATAGTTATGCTTGGATGTCTTATAATGGTGACAATTGGTATATAAGTGCACTTGCTTTTTGGCATCTGGTTTCTATTTCTCTGTCAATTCTACCATCTTCTGTGATCATACTTCATAGATATTTAAACTCCTTAACTTGATTCAGAGCAGAACCACTCAGCTGTTTGTGTAGTGGGGCAGGGGTTCTACTAACTTCAATTGTTTCGGTTTTGTTTACTTTGATCTTCATATCATCGTATGTACTGGTGTAAAAAGCCTCCTTTTCTTACTGAGCTTATAGTTAATACATTCATTGTCCTGTTGAGCCATTATTTGTCCCATGGGCTCACAGTCTTTTCCTCCATTATATTTTATCCTGTGCAATCCAATTTTTTTTTCTTCTTAGCATTCACAGGCTGTAAACTCTGGTGGAAAGTTCTGGTTGTTGATCAACTTCTGGACTTCTGGTCTTGTTCTAGAACTTCAACTTTATGTGCACATCCATTTTATAGATCTGGCTTACTTGCATGCAGACTGCTGGTTCCTTGCCACTCAGGCAGATGTGCTCCGACTTCTAAGACAAAAAAATCTTTAATTAGTTGTCTGTTACTACAAGCTTATTAGGGAGGCAGTGGGTCTAATCATTCCACTCCCTCTCCCAAAGAATAAATGGTGCTCTGAAATGAAAAGGTGGAGCAATCAAGTCAAATCATTGATGGAATCCATTCTAGCACCTTTGGCCTCTCTTAGCAACACTCAATTTTTGTTTTTTGGGGGGAGGGGGCCTCACTTCCTTTGTATTTCTCTTTACCTTTACATCCAAACTCGGTAGTATAGTTGTATAAGCAGCTACATGCATCTCCTGAAATGAAAAATACAAGTGAAAAGTGGCATCATTAATTATCAACTTTATCAAAACTATGAATTCATTAAAAAGATATCAAGCAAGTGAAAAGTAGAACCATTAGGCTTCACATAATCACAAACATAAACCGGCAAGTAAACGTTGCTGCTATACAGTCTTCATCAGCACATTACATAAGTCAAAAAAAATACACAAAGTCACTTCGCTCATATATTCCTGACAGACGTCACAGCTAGTGGAATGAATGGCATGCCTGGCTACAGAGAATATATACTGGCCTGGGAACGCCTAGCGCCGTAACTCAAAGACATTAGATAAAACTGTGGTGAAAGTTCTCCACTAGGTGAACTGGCACTCATGAGAAAAACAGTGTGGTTCTCAAGAAACTTATAAACTCTGTCACTGGAGTTACTAGACCTGATGGTCGTAACCTCCATGTCGTGGACACTCTGGTGAACCATAGAACTTAAATGCAATGGTACTGGTCTGAGGGAACTATCTGAAAGATGCTGCCTGAATTTGTCAGTTAGTCGTAGTCCCATTTCACTGATGTATTGCATACCAAATATTTTACTGATGATGGCGTAAATAACACTGCCGCTCGTGCTTCAGGTATGTGGAAAGCATCATTAGGGAATTCCAGACTGCCCCCTGGCCCTTATAAAGACAAGTGTTGAATACATGTCTATAGCAAAAGACCGCACCTAAGTGGAACTCAGCAGGTGGGACATAACAGACTCTTGACTAGAATGTCCTTGAGGTTATGGCCATGTTTGAGTTATGAGTTAGATTATTATCTTCACAGCACTCCAGACACATCAACAGGCGCTCAGATTCCCCTCTCAACATATTCATCAGCGTCGTGCAGATAATAGTACCAGTCCTACGTTGGTTAACAAGACGTCACATGAGTCTGGTGTGCTTCTCGTGCTTGACTGTGCCGATCTTTACTCTCAATTCACAAATTCTTAGCAGTGACGTCGACACGTTGCTTCTGAAATCCTCAGAACGTCCTATCTCTCTAAGGGCAATGACAATGTCTGTGTGATCATTGGGCCGGCCATCTTCAATTAATGCAGCACCTGCCAGTCTGTCAGCTCTTTCAGTACCAACAACGCCTGCACGCCCGGGGATCAATATGAAGATAACTGCACACACAGGATAGTGTTGCAATGACTCAAACCATTGTCTGCGTAACCAGTCTGCCTCGACCCACCGGATCATCCTCAAAGAGTCACTCAGCACACACACGCAGGAACAGTCCTGTGATTCTAGCCACATGAAAGCTTGTATCACCACCATCACTTCCATCGTCACGCTGCTGGTGGTCATGGAGAAGGCACCACTGGCTTCTTGAACTGCTCTGCCTGAAGAGCAAGTTGTAAAATCTACCCTGATACAAATTTGAACCCTAGACCTTTGAGCCTACAGGTGAGCATCAAGCCACATGCAACAGTACAAATCGTATTTAGAAAAATAAAAGTCACTTACCATCCAGATCATCTACTTCTGTCATAAACAGAGCCAGGACACCCCTGAGGAGAGTTTTGAATGCCACTTGTAAGTCTAAGGTTTCAGCGGGGTACAACACTGCATGGATAGCCACGGATCCAGACACAAGAGTGAGAAACCACATCTTCAACCAGTTGATTAAATCTCTCCGCATCTGTTGCAAAGACAGGGTTAATGTCCTATTATAAAGCAAAATTATTCATTCATTCATTCATTATCCTACCATGCCATTATATGTCAGCTAGGAATCACAGTCTATTTCTCCATTCAGTTCTATCTACACTCCATCTTGTGCAGTCACTTTGATATCATAGATGAAAATCAGTTTAGCACTTTTGGCTTCTCTTGTCAAACTTCACCTTAGCTTCCTCATTCCTCCTATTTCCCATTTCAGTGCCTGTTTGGCATCTTCAGTTGTTCTCTTCTCAGCACAATGTTCTCTGTCTTACCTTTTTCTTCTATGTTCATCCGAATACATACATGTATTGCGCCTGTTCACAACATGGCTGCGATATTTGTCCCTTTCGGCCAACACATCTGACTTCTGCAGGCATTTGTTGTCTGGGTTTGCCTTCCTGGGTCTTTGTCTCATAACGAGCAGTATAAGACAATAGGGCAGACAAAATAAGACTGTGGATGGGTAAATAATCAAAGTGAATGTGCCATGAACAGATGGACAGTACTCCATAAGCAAAACATTTAAGACCAGGAAGAGGAGAGGAAAAGATAAATGCATCGACATAAGGATAGGTAGACAAAAAAAGTAATGTAAAGATCTCTTTTTACAACCTCTGGTGCATTGGGCATAGGGAAAAGGCACCCATATTTTTACCGACAATCAGCACTAGGTGATTAATGTGATCAGCATAACGCCGGCCATCTTTACTTTCCCAGGACATACATCCTGGTACCCATTTAAGGCTGGGTCGACCTGCGACACCCCATACAAGGGCAGACATATGCATAAACATATACTGTGTTTACAGACAAATGCATCAGGTTTCAAAAACAAAATAAAAAAGGCATTGATGCATCTGGCAGATGGTGATATAGCCATTTTTATAAACCAGCTGGCAGAAAACAAGTGATCACTTACCATCACGGTTATGTTGACGAGCATTGGTCCAAGCGTTTGAGACACAGGGTAAAACTGGGTCATGGCGTAATAGAAGAAATAGATGAGGCTGAGACTGAGCAGGAACTTGACTGTGGTGAAGGACAGGGTCGTAAAATGCAACACACGAAACATGACCACTATACATGATGTATAGATGATCATACACATCGTGCGGACATTCTGTTTTATGGGGAATTCCCCGCAGTGCTGAAAATGTATAGAAATATTAATGTGTACAGGAGATGGCTGACTATAAATGAACTGTCTTTAGAGTCTGTATTGACTCTGTCTTAAAGGTAAAGTCATGGGAAGTAAAGGCAGCTGGTGTGAAGCCAACTATATCACCTATCGAGTGCTAATTGGTCTATAAAATAATTGATCCAGCACTTTAAGCCAAAAACGCCTGATGGCAGATAAGAGGATCTTATAGAGTTTGCACATACCTCTGTTTGTCTGGCTAAGAGGTTAATGAAAATCTTTAACATTAAATCATTAAATAAAATATATTCCCTGGGGTCTAAAAACCTATGTATGTGGTGAGTCATGCCATGAGCATGTGACATCTATCCCATGTATGGCCATGAGCCCGTGACATCTATCCCATGTATGGGGTGAGTCATGCCATGAGCACGTGACATCTATCCCATGTATGGCCATAAGCCCGTGACATCTATCCCATGTATGTGGTGAGTCATGCTATGAGCACGTGACATCTATCCCATGTATGGCCATGAGCTCTGACATCTATCCTATGTATGTGGTGAGTCATGCCATGAGCACGTGACATCTATCGCATGTATGTGGTGAGTCATGCCATGAGCCTGTGACATCTATCACATGTATGTGGTGAGTCATGCCATGAGCCCGTGACATCTATTCCATGTATGGCCATGAGCCAGTGACATCTATCCCATGTATGGGGTGAGTCATGCCATGAGCACGTGACATCTATCACATGTATGTGGTGAGTCATGCCATGAGCCCGTGACATCTATCCCACGTATGGGGTGAGTTATGCCATGAGCACGTGACATCTATCCCATGTATGTGGTGAGTCATGCCATAAGCACGTGACATCTATCCCATGTATGTGGTAAGTCATGCCATGAGCACGTGACATCTATCCCATGTATGTAGTGAGTCATGCCATGAGTCCGTGACATCTATCCCATGCATGTGGTGAGTCATGCCATGAGCACGTGACATCTATCCCATGCATGTGGTGAGTCATGCCATGAGCACGTGACATCTATCCCATGCATGTGGTGAGTCATGCCATGAGCACGTCACATCTATCCCATGTATGTAGTGAGCCATGCCATGAGCACGTGACATCTATCCCATGTATGTAGTGAGTCATGCCATGAGCACGTGACATCTGTTCCATGTATGTGGTGAGTCATGCCATGAGCCTGTGACAACTATCCCATGTATGTGGTGAGTCATGCCATGAGCACGTGACATCTATCCCATGTATGTGGTGAGTCATGCCATGAGTACGTGACATCTATCCCATGTATGGCCATGAGCTCGTGACATCTATCCCATGTATGGGGTGAGTCATGCCATGAGCACGTGACATCTATCACATGTATGTGGTGAGTCATGCCATGAGTCCGTGACATCTATCCCATGTATGTGGTGAGTCATGCTATAAGCACGTGACATCTATCGAAAAAAGGTCTGGTATCATTAGGACCCGAACCCACGACCTTCCAATCTGCAGGCAAAACTCTAGACCATGGCGGCTCTCCATTAAAAGTGAAAAGGAAAGACAAATTAAACTTATGGGACACATCAACAGAAGTAGTATAAAGTCTTATGCTGACAATATGCTAGACAAGCGAGGCATAGGAAGGCAGACTATGTATGTGAAATGTATACACAGTGTAGCAGCAAATAATAATAAATGCAACATCAGCTTCACACAATTTTATTTTATCAGAGGATAAAGAGGAGTGGAGAGTCATGATCTGAATGTCTACGCCAGAATAGGCAACTATTGGCACACATGTGAAACCTCAATGAAACTCAGTGTGTGCGCAAAGTTGAGAATATCACAGTGTGATCAGAAAAGAAGACGAGTCTTATATACCTGGATATTTTGCATTAGACATTCTTAGCATTTATTCTCGGTTGTGAGAATCTGAAAACAATCTACCATACCATCACAAGTAGCCAGGTCCCTAATATGAATACAAGAGAAGCTGATATACTTATCTGTGTGCAACTGTTCCAAACAAACCAATAAAAACCTCATGGCAGTAGAGGCAAAATACAGTAAATGAGAGATCTAGTTATTGTCTTGACCTTTATATGTCTCAGCTCTCCTTAGATGTCTCTTATCTTCTTCTTCTTTGTTCACCGGCTGTAAGCTCTGGTGGAAAGTCCTGGTTGTTCATCCATTTGCACTTTGTGCCAGGGCCTGAGTTCTGCATGTACACCTGTTATACTGGCATATTTGTGTGCAGTTAGTTGTTTTGCCGCTCAGGCAAATGTACTCAGACTTCGATGAAAGTCCCTAATTAGGTGATTCTTACGACATGCATGTTGGGGAGGCAGTGGGTCTATTCTTATTTTCCCCACAATGGGGCTCTGGAACCCACTTGGGAAAGAAGCCTCTTATGACATGCATGGTAGCTTACAGTGACACTATTCTTGGCTGCTCTTATATGCCTAAGTAACACACAGTGATATTTTAGTTAGTTATATACTTATAAGGTTTTCTCAATGTACGCCCTATCTTAAATCAGCATCGCTCCCTTGCCCCCTGAGTCATAGAAATTTGTTTAACTCTTTCCCAAAATTCCACATGAACGATTCCGCCAAACCACATAATTCCCTTTAAAATGCCCCAGCACTACTTCCTGAATGTCTATGGTTTATCAGAGAAAATAAAAACGTAACTATTCCTTACAAACTTCTTTGCCAGAAGACTGTACACATTATCCACAAAAAGTACAATGAGCCATGCCATCAGCACTTTATGAACAAATGGGTCTCCACAATATGGCTGACTCAGAGCATACGCGAACAATATCAGGAAGGAGAGGATGAAAATCTGACAGGAAAATCAAATTAAAATTAGTAAGTTTTGAAATCACTGTAATATAATTAACTTTTTGTTATGCCTTTGTCATCTCACTGACACCAGTGTATTTTATATGATATGCTGCCAATTACTACCCAAAACATTGGTTGTTTTGTTTTTAACCCATGCGCATGGATATTACTGAGTGCTCACAGACACTAAACAGCACCAACAGTGGCCGTAGTCACTAATATATCATGAAAACTATGTGATGATCTGGTAATCTTAGTTTCAGCTTCATACCAAATGGGTCACCCCATAGTTGATCCGCTCCTGTGCCAACGAAAAACACACAAAATGTTTATCACAGTTCAAATGAAATCTGCAGCTCACAGTGTCACACCATGCACTCAACTCAGAAGCTAGGCAACGAAACTATATCCTTCCAGTCTATAAATGGAGCACACAAAAATGCACCAGCCACCGTCTGGAAGAAGCAACACAATGCCACAGCTAAAAAAAAAAGTGGCCGTGCCTAGCGTCTATTTTGACTTGAAGCATTATGTGAGGGTTAATAAACGGTCACCCCAGCAGTATGACGAATGTGTGTTGGTTGTTAGTACCAACAACAACAACAAAAATTTGAGATTCTGATCTCAAAGTGTAAGTAGATCAGACATGGTCATCCCATCCTAGGGTTGTGGGGCCACTAATCCTGGTGGGTTGGTTTAACTATACACTGCAGTTGCCAGGTGAAGCCTCTGGCATCAAAATCCAACTTGTACCAGGCTAGACAGTGAGAAATTTGTTGCCATTCATTCTGGTGCTGGTTATCAGTTGTAGAATATCCTTATTTATCGTCATGCTACAACATTATGGAAGAAAATCGTTGTAAGAAAATTGTTGTTATTTGAAGTAACATTGCTGACTAGAGGACGAAATCAGCATGGAAAAAGAGTCTTGCTGGCTAGATAGTGAACACTATTGAGAAAGATACTGTTGAGAAAGATACTGTTGAGAAAGATACTGTTGAGAAAGATACTGTTGAGAAAGATACTGTTGAGAAAGATACTGTTGAGAAAGATACTGTTGAGAAAGATACTGTTGAGAAAGATACTATTGAGAAAGATACTGTTGAGAAAGATACTGTGTTCAAGGTCCAACTGCTGTTTATGGTGAAGAGGATCTGCTCATACGTTATTATTATACTTTGATACAGAAGTAAGTTGTGGATGGCAAAAGTTTTAGAATTGCCAATGTTTTTCAAATGCTGATTAAGAGTGCCAAGGTCACTTTTTTCCCCCCAACTGTAAATACCTACATTTGATCATGGACTGGTATCCATCATACAATTTGCACTCACCATAAGAAGTTTGAGTCCAGTTCGTTCTGGTATTTTGTTTGTTTTGGGGATGAGGTACTCCAAATTTGGATTCCCTGGATCTGTTCACTTGTTGTTCTACAATCCATACCTCTTGACAGTTGGACTTAAATGATTTGAGATGAAGTTTTGAGATGTTTTAATCGCTGGTCTACCTTGCTCGTATCATTGAATTGTGCTACATGCAGATTGGGACATCTATATCCCAGTTACCATTATACTCGATTGCTAGACTTAGCCTTAAGTAGTTCATTGCTAGTTTTACTTCTGTACTATCATATTATTTCATCCACATCAACAGGAAACATCTACCACTGACCCCTCAAAGGCTTCAGATATCTCAACAAATAGTAGTTGTCATCATATGCAGTCTTGTAAATAGTTATATTGCCCATGGTTTTGAATGCTGATGAAAGCTTTCTAGTTGTTCATTCTGTCATTTTTCAATAGCATGAAAGGGGGGAGGTGGGTAATTAGTTTTATCTCTCATCTTTTTTTTTTCCTATGAGAATTCCTTCCGACCAATAGTGGTGTTGTTTTACTAACTTGTGAAGGAATAATAGTCAAGCTGAAGTGAAGGAGTAACTCTCAAGTCTACTATAAAGAGAATCATTTCCTTTTTGACAGGAGTAAATAATGTGGTTAATTGTGACTACATACCTGGGATATCCAGAACTGTGTTATCGGGGCTGTCCAGATGTAGTAGAGCTTCACAATGAGCAGAGCTTCCCTCTTCCACCTGGCCCCAAGAGATGTATTCTAAGGTCAAATAAATGTGTATTCAGGATAAATGATAACAAACTGGTTTTTAATGGTAGCAAATGCCATAACTTAATAAAAGTTAATGATACCATTCTTTCCAAAATCAGGGTAATTGTCCACCCACAATATTATATTATTAGTCTTTACCTCTATGATTAAAAAGTGTCAGGGTATAGTGTCAGACTTATGACATGTTGTGATACCATCGTTAGCTTTATGGGTTAGTGTTGTCCTTGTATGTGTAATGTCCCATAGGGATGTAAAGATACGTTGTTCTCAGGTGATTGACTCTCGCTAGGAAACATCTCAGATCTATGTTAGTAGATGTTGATGACAGGAATTTTCATAACTGTATATTGACAATACTTATGTGAATGAAGAAGGATATCTTAAGATGTACTGAACTGAATGTAGACACAATTATGTGGACATCCCATATCCGTGTAGAGATACTTGACTCAAGAGGTAGACATGTAACAGAGACGTCTGTCATCAAGAAGTATCTGTCCAGAGGAGCGGTGGATGTCAAGGGTCGTCTCGGTAATGGGACAGTACAGTATGATGATGATGAATCCTACCGATAGACCCCGCGACCCTTAGCTAAATTCAGTACGTGTATACACACGCATAAACGTGGGTTTGGTAAACGAGGCTGGGTGAAACTCAGCGAGGCTTGTTCAAGGCAGGCAGATTCCACGTAGGCTGACCGCCATGTGGACACTTCAGCGCTGGACTCTTTGGTTGAAGACTTGTGCTATAGACATCATGTGTGACTGGACCGTTAGATTGTGATAGTTTCTTTGATAGATCGTATTGATTAGTATTAATGTACTGTCGTAGTGATTAGCTGTAATGCGTACTCTTCATGGTGTGATTAAATGTATTTAATACGTTACAGGGTAGATAATACGTGTTCCATTTAGATCTTAGTTGGCCTTAGATTTAGGAGAGTAGTCAGACTTTGTCAGTAGTTATAACTCTTAACGATAAGCCAGATCATGCATTGTTTGTGGCGTTAGCATCTGCCGACGCACCTCTAGCCATACGTGGTGTGTGCCATAGCGTCTTTTGCTCCGGGAGACATCGGGTTGAGTTAGCGCTGTACGGGAGTGTGGTAGTGGCTCAGAGCTTATATCATGAACGTGAAAAGGCACGTCTAAGTGATTTTTAAGTTAGAAGTGGCCTGGTTTCAGAATAAATAGCACTACCCCTCCTGAGGGGTTCACCTCTTAGTTAGTTTCTTTTAATAATAACAATTGTGTGGGTGTTTCAACCAGTGTTTGGCTTGGGTGTGTTTGTCAGCAGTGTTTTTCTGTCATTAGCCTACAGCGAACCCTAGATATTTAGGTTCTTGACATGAGTCTACTCTCATTCAGCACAATAAGCAGGGCCTCAAAAATGAGCAATCCCAGCTTTAAGAATGGGCACTCACGTAATCATATTTGGCACGCACATCCACAAAAATGAGCACTCGTATATTCATATTTAAAACTCCCAGCTTTCTGAATAGACACTCATAAGTTCATTCCAACCCTCTCAGCTGCAAGATTCAAACCCACAGTTTCAAAGTTCAACATTCAGAATTTCACATTCATATCGGGGCCGCGTTAGCGCAGTCGATAGGAGGCTTGCTTTGAAATGCAGCTGCAACTCGCTGCAGCTCACGGTTGGTATTCGAAACCGTGCAGTTCCTGGGGCTCACCCAGCCTTTAGAAAATGGGTACCCAGGTGACACTCTGGGGTAAATGGAGGAACGTCACTGTAGCTACAGAGTCAAGTGCAGACGGCGACACAGGCGGACAGTTCTTATCAGCTGTCCATACTGGTGGCAGAGCACTTATGGTTTATAAACGTGTGCAATGATGCTGGTTCACATCTCCCAACTTTACCTTTTTTTTTTTTTTTAATATTCAAATAAATGCAAGATTTAAAACATTCAACTATAAGACCCAACATCAACAGCTCAAAATTCTACAATGCTCGCTGCATTGGACCAACACTCACAATTGTAAAATGAATAACATAAGCAAAACAAAACAACAACAAATCCTCTGTAGAAATAAAAAATGATGACATACTTTTAGCCCATAATAACTTGAATGGACTTGAACCTTTGGTTTGGCAACTGAAATGCATCATTCATTTACTGTTTAATCTACGTGAGTGTGTGTGTGTGTGAGTGAGAGAGAGAGAGAGAGAGAGAGAGAGAGAGAGAGAGAGAGAGAGAGAGAGAGAGAGAGAGAGAGAGAGAGAGCAAGACAGAGAGAGGGGGGGGGGGGAGAAAGACAGAGAGGAGAGAGGAAGGGGGGAGAGAGAGACATATTAAGGCACTTTTTATTTTCACCATCAGTTACATGTCTCTTCACTTCCCAAACAATGGTATTCATGCACAAACATACAAAACTAATGTAACATAGACTGGGACAGAAGGTGAACAATTAAATTATGTGGTAAACATAGACACAAATAAACATATGATTAGTTTCTTGTTTGGGGTTTAGAGCAAATAGAAGACCTTTAAAAAAAATTTTTTTAAACAGATGGGGTGAAACTGATTAACAAGCGGTACTTAACATTAATTTTATATCAATCATCACACAGCTACCCTACAAAAATAGATCGCTTGTTGCTTGCTGTTTGTTTGTTTGACATCCTAGTACATTGATCTGGCCCATTCGTACTCTGTCCTCTGATGCAGAAGCCATCTGATTGTCTCCATGCTCAACATCTCCAGCAGAACTTGATTGGCATATCTTCTTTCTTCAACCTGTTTCTGCATGCTTATTCTTGTTTAATAGCCGTTTCCAACAGGCAGTTCGTTGTCTCCATCTCTTTCATCTCAAAGTCTTTAGAATGCAGCGCATTCGGTATGTCTGCCCTGTCCATACTCCTTCCTCCCCTAATCTCTGCAGATGTGGCCAGTGTTTCCTCTCTTTCATTTCCTTTCGCCTCAGCATGTTCTGTTGTGTACAATTAGGAAAGTTTCTTGAGGTGGGGCTTCTGGATGCTGTCAGCCCATTCTGGTCGCAGTTTGTCAGTTTCAATCTTCTTAAGCATTCTCACTGAGTGCGTCACTATCAATGCATGAACTGCTTTCTGTCCCGCAAGCCATGCAAGTACCCTGTGACAGCTACTATCTCCACCGTCATAGTGGAAGTATTTGAACTAAATGCCTGACTTTCTTCTTTACTCTCTTCCCATTTACCTTCATTGTGTTTGCCTACCCAGACTGCACCCCATGAATCACTGAGCCATCTGTACTAATGATTATGTCACCTGGTCGACTGTGCTTGTGGATGAGGACCCTTATTTCAGCATCAGTGGCTGTTTAGCTCCATTCACTGCAATATCTGTAGAGTGATTATTACTTCAACGTGCTCCTCTAACTATTCTGGTATTTTTAATCCACAAATGAACAAATAAACAAACTTTATTTTTAAAAGGTTAAGAATTGGGTTTGCAGACCTGTCTAATATTCTGCCTTTCTAATTGTCCTCCTTTCATACAGCATTTCATCGATACATCTCTTACCAAGTAATAGCAAACATTATCAACAGCAGCCAAATATTAAGTACAAGCACTGGAATGTGCGTTCATTCCTCCTTAGTGCCGTGCAGCCTGACATGTTCCATTGAGCAAATCTGGCTAACGATATCCTCTGCTTATCCTATCCAGGACTGGCTCCTCTTTAGGGGCTTACCTTTGTTCACTTGGGGTAGTTGTGCAAAATGTGTTTTAAACAGCAACAGCACAAACCCACACATTCGACTAAGCCATCCTTGGTCTAATGACTATGTCAGAAAGGTCGAGCATGTATCACATGGTGTGACATGAGGTGTCTTGTGCACCCGAAGATCAGTCTCATGGCTTCACTCTGTACTTCCTCTAGTCTTTGCAACTGATGTCTGCTGATTGTGAAGAGGCCAAGCCCATAGTCAATCCTTGAAAGCACCAAACTCCAATAAAAAAATAGTCAGCAGTCTTTGTTCTTCCATCTTAGCTGCCACCATCACTTTGAGCATCGCCAGGCATTTATTAGCTTTTACAATGATGCCACTGACATGATTTTGGGAGGGTAGACATCTATTTAAGTGGATACCAAGATATTTAGGTCTAGTGACCTATCTCCACTCATACTGACAAATGGCAAGGGCATCGTGACATGTCACTGTAGCCAGCCTTAGCTAGGTTTTCTTTAGCCCTTGATTCCTCACACAGTCTGGTCAGTCTATCGAGATCCTGCTGCAGTGCTTCAGCAGTCTCCATCTCCTGTCTGTCTGTGCCCTGCCTATACGTCAGCACATCATCAGCAAATTACAAAAAGTGCCCCAGTCCTAAATTCCGAATGCGAGTGACATTTGCGGTGTACACACAAAATAGAACAGGTACAACGATGACCCCTGAGCTAGCCCTGGCAAGATGTCTGCTGCTTCAGCATCCGCATCCCACAATGCTGCACTATTGTCCTTTCAAAAAGAGCACCACTAATCTGATTTAACAGGGTTCTATAAATATGCATGTTCAACATCTGTGTCAGGAGGCAGTCATATGGAGCTCTGTTGTATGCATCCTCAACCTTTCAATACCAGCCTGGAAGCCCTCAGAGGTGTGATAAGTAAAAACAGCGCCATGGGTCTAGGTGTTATTTCTGGGTTGATATCCCCCGAAAGGAATGGCGGGGGGGGGGGGGGGGGGTGGGATCTGCACGCCATGATCTTTTTAAGGAGTTTAACTATCGGATTTTGCATGGTAATAATACTATAGCCGTTCACCCTGGCATTAAAAAAAATAGATTGCCTCCTGTTCTTAAACTATAACTAAGAATATGTGCCAATTTTTACTTACCAGTCTGTGGTCGATATATACGAACAATGTCAATCCAGTAATAAGTAGGCAGTATCAAAATTAAACAAAGAAAAATCTGAAAGCACAAAATAAAGAAAATAAGGTCATGACTCTTCCAAACACCTTGAGGCCTATCAGGTATATGGTGCTATCCCATTTGTTACTGACTGATCGTTACTTGATTTGTGATGTGGCCAGTATCTATACTTGCCAGAATGTTTTCTGGTACTCACTGTATGTTTGTTGGTTACACATAGCTGCACATTCTCACCTGGCTGAGGGTTTGAACATATCATCCCTAGGCCAGCAGACAAGTGACAATATGGGTTACCTGTTATTAATTAAAATATACAAGTTTTTTTGGGGGTCCAGGATATTAGGGTGTGCAGGGTAATAAGCATGCTGATAGACTGCCTGCTGCCGCTCTTCTGGGTCTTGAGCTACTTTATGACAAAGTAGAGGTAGTGAAGGCTCTCTGGGATGAAATGGACAGCGCAAAAGAACAGAAAATCAATACACTGAATGACTAAATAACTTTAATCGGCTTGCAAGTTGTACTATTGGCATATCAACTCCTCGTTGGCTACAATGGGAGGAGACGGGACACGCATGGGAATGTCCCTAGTGCAGGGATGTTAATTCTTGATTCATTCACTCAGTACCAAGCAGCGCAACATACATGACCGCATATTATTCATGCGCACCAGTCACTGGGCTACGTGTGTCTTTACATTTACATTTAGCCGGGGCATACTAAAGCACTCAAAAGAACACATTTGTCTTCTACAGTCTGCTGCGTATCTGACACCTGCGGACAGAAAAATTAAAAACAGCAAAATTGTTTTCCTTTGTGTCTGCCTGTCAGTCCTCCAGGCGACTCAGAGGGATCCATGAGACAGTCCTCCAGGCGACTCAGAGGGATCCATGAGACAGTCCTCCAGGCGACTCAGAGGGATCCATGAGACAGTCCTCCAGGCGACTCAGAGGGATCCATGAGACAGTCCTCCAGGCGACTCAGAGGGATCCATGAGACAGTCCTCCAGGCGACTCAGAGGGATCCATGAGACAACATAGAGAGAGAGAACTGACCCGCCAGCTAAACAGACTCTCAGAAAACAATCAAAACATTCTCCAGTAAAACCTGGCTCACTGCGGCATACCAGGAAATGAGTTAGCAGACAGACTTTAAAAAAAAATGAAACAAAGGAGAAACAACAAACCCATTCATTGTCATTACCAGAAAACAGAACACTTATCAAGGAAAAATACAAACAACTGAAGAGAGAACAATCTAATAGTAAACACCCACAAGACCCCATCAGTAGACTCAACAGAAAGCAACATACAACAATTTTCTGTCTACGAACAGGACAGTGCAGGCTCATCTACCACATTCATAAAATAAAGATTGAATACTCCCCTCAGTGGGCCTGTCAAACAGGACCACAAACACCTGAGCACATTCTGCAGATCTGCCATACGAAACCGTACGCAAAGAAGAAGAAGAAGAATGACCCCTGTGCATATAGTATGCCCATGATTTTGTTGTCCTTATTACTGACTAAGACATCCCCCTGCGGGTTCCAGTTTACCATTTTGGGTTAAAAACAATTAACCTGCTGCCTCCCTATAAAGCACGTCACAAAGGGCAACAAATTTAAAACTTTTCCTCTAAAGTTGCAGTGCACCTGCCAGAGAGGAAAGACCAACAGTCTGCATACAAATAATTGAGTAACATGGTCAACTAGGCACCATGTTCTTAGTGCACTTGTATTCATGGCGAGGCGCAGACGCCGTCTGGAGGTGACAGGTTCAATTCCCGGCACGGTAACTATAGCTTTCGATTTTTATGTAGTCTAGTGTGTTCTTCTATCTTTCTACTTCTTTCTATGAGTGCCCATCAATACACTTTCTATTACTCAATTAATTCATAATATTTAACGGCCTCAAAGGTTCCCCTCTGTTTATTTATAGGAATGATGCATACAAATAAGCAGATATGTAAAATCGATGCGCACGCACAATTTTAGTTCTAAAACAAGGCTTAGGTCCAGAAGTGGATGAGCAACCATAAATTTCCGCCAGAATTAACATCCGATGAGGCTAAGAAGAAGAAGAAGCTCAGACAAAGATCAACTGTGATCTTCTGTGATTGAAAGAGTTAAACAAAGTCATTTAAAATAAGACAAGATCATGAGATTTACCTTGATCACCTCAGGGATTTCGATAAATCCGATCTTCCTCTTCTGGATTCGAATTGAACCATACCATAAATTATAGGCATATTTCTGACAACAAGGGTGGGCAATGAAAAATTTGTTCCTGCCTATAACTGCTAGATCTACAGCTGAGTAGTTCTTGAAGTCAGGAAGTTGTGTAGTTAACAAGTCGAGAGCTTGAGATTTGGACTCCTGATAGCTCATATCCAACATTGTTACTGCCAGCTTTCCAAAATCTCTGAAATAACAAAGCAAAAATAATATTAATAAAAAAGGTAATATATATTAAAAAAATTTAAACTACACACACGCAGAAACAAAGTGTATGTTAGTTAAACCCCCCCCCCCCCCCCCCCCCCCCCACCCCATTTATTTCAGCGATGTCTTCTTCTACATTTGCCTTAAAATGGTGGTTTGTATGGTGTGCGGTTTACAGCTAGGTTACTAAATCTGTGCCTTTCAGCTGAACACATCTGCTTATAACAGACCTTCAATTAGTCCCCTTTTACAACATGCATATTAATGGGTTTTTCTTCCTGAAGTTTTTTTTTTTTTAAACTCATTGTTAATTTGCAACATCCTTTGTTTACTGAATTGTGTTCTGTCAAGCTGACATTTCCTTGATTTTATTTTTTTTAAGTTTTTTTTTTTTTTTTAAAACATCTGTATCAAGTTACTGCAGTCACATCAATTTGATATTTGAAAAAGAAACATTTTTACTTCCTTCAAAAATCTGCAGAGCAGTTAAGGCCTGTTTGTAATCCAGCTTAAAGCTATCTTAAAATGCAGCAAGAGAAGACAATTAATTAAATAAACACAATGGGGTCAATACTAAGAAACAAACGTATTAACAGAACTAAAAAAAAGCATATCTGACACAGTCTTCTTGCCAATCCTGTGTTACCAATGCCAGACTTGGACATTGACAGAAAAAGAGATAAGAAAAATTACAATGGAAATGAGATTCCTGTGAAGGACTCTCAATATAGGAAGAAGAGGTCAGATCAGAAACAATGAAATCCAATAAGGAAATGGGTGTTAGCATCAGCTCTGGATTTCATTACAAGACAACAGGTGAAATGATTTGGCCATATAACGCTGATGTAAGCAGACAGTATACCACAGCAGGCAATGATGTATAGACCAGGCGGGAAGTGAAGAAGAGGTCGACTATGTAAGCGACAGGCAGAGGGAACTACAAAGTTTATGGGAATCACATTTTATAAAGCTTACAAAGGGGCTCTTTCCCACAAGTTATGCTTTACCTTGACACTGAAATGTTCAAGAGGATCATAATGAGATGATGAGATTAATGGGGTAATATCATCCACATTTCCTCACTTCAAATATATCATATTGCTGTGTTACATTTTTTTTTAAATGTGGCTCAAATTGAGACTAGGCCTCTAGGGCATGGACAAAGAAAAACTGTGTAGGTATATTTACTGTATTTCCATTTTAAACATAATTTATTGTTATACATACATTTTACTATCTATTATGAATATTAGCATCATCATGTGTCTCTGCCAACTTAGCAGATACATGCTCTTGATGAGGTCTCTTAAGTTCTGATCCCTGAGCCAGCAAGCAAGTGTGTTAGTCAGTGAGCTACTACGACATTTACAGACCATCAATTCTTTATAGAACGTTGCTCTCATCACCATACACTCTTTTTTCTCTAGCCAATTCTTCAGCCCTATGTGCTTTCAAAGCCAATGCCTCTTCAATGTCTTGCAGCCACATTCACAGAGGTCTTCCTCTGCATACTTTTCAAATATTCCTATACTCTGTCAGTTACAATAGCTGCAGCTAGAGAACTGACAATGACAGCAAAATCACAAATTCTTACTTTCACAGAAGTTACCCAGACTCATAAAGTAAAAACAAAAAGGTTGTCGGATTTCTTCAGAGTGCCATAATTAAATATACACATTATCATCAGATGTGTGGCATAATGAATCAGGCTATCAGGGTTCCAACCTCACCACTGTAAATGGGTAACCGCATAACTTCTCCGTTCCTGTTGTATCTGTGAAAACTGCACAAAATGTCCATCACTATCCCACGTGAAAAGTCAAACAGACGGCAGTGCTTGCAAAATCCAACAGTTCACAAATGCATCAAATGCATAAGCCAGCTGCCAGAGGTGCCAACACCAACAGTCTGCACTAGAATTGCAATCAATTTTTGATGAAAACAGCAGTATTGCAAATCAGAAGGTGCACATGCATTACTGTATAAGGCATACAACTAATTCTATGGCAACCACTTACTCGCCACTTTCTAAACATACAGATTACAAAACATATTTTCAGAAGTATAGCATGGAATCCACAGCTCACAATTTTGTACCATTCATTAAACTTGGTAGCTGGCCGACGGAACCAAATTTTGCCTTAACCTCAATTATTTAACCGCACAAGAAAGATTTGTTCCAGCGACACGCTACAAACAGAATTTGAAACGCTTAAACAAACACTGCTTTTTAAAGGATATCCAGGTACTTTTATTAAACACCATTGCCAGCTTCCCAAACCAACTGCCATAGAAATTTTGGTGCCAACAAAAAAATTAGGTTTACATCACTACAACTTTTCCTAGAGAGGAAGTTTTGCAATGTTTATATGACTTGCTCAAAACAGCAGGCAGTCAAACTTTTTACACAGCCATTCCTGTTGTCAGGTAAAAACCAGAGTAATTCCTACACCACTAATGAAAGAACTAGTGTCGACACACGTCAAATCTAATTGTATTAACCAATTTAAATGCACCCGTAATGCTGCATATGTGGGCAGAATAAATCGACGACTGAAGAAACAGGTTGCTGAACATATTCCACTATGGGTAGTAAAAGCAGTGCAGAACACTAACAACAATTCAACAACAACGAATCAGGGGACTGGTTTAAAAAAATATATCATCACCAATTGCGTACCATCTTCTAAATTCTAGGCATATGGTAAACAAATACAATGCATTTCAAATTAAATACACATCAGCCAACCGTAGATTACTGAATTATGCAGATATATAAGCCGGTTTAGTCCAAAACTATGCAGACAAAAGAAAATGCTCGTCACCTTGCAGTTACCCTTGTAAAACATACACTGTGTAAGAGTAGCTGATTTTGTGTTTCAGCTTGAAGGATTCATTTATTTGCTTTATTTTAATCAATTGTTACTGTAGTAAGTACCTAACGAGATACAGTGAAATATGTCAGGCAATAAATTGTGCAATCTATTGTTTGTGTCTTCTTTGTTCAAATTTACCTTGATTGTTGTCCTATCTAGTTTCCCACAGGCGATTGAAACCCCAAGTTTCCACTGGATTCCTGGGGAGAACAGGATCCACCACCAGAAGCTGAAGTAGGTTTGAGTCTCTATAATCTGAGTCTTGTGACATAGTCTGGTGCACATGTAATGTCAATCACAAAGGTGTCTTGCTTGGGACACAGTAAAAGCGGAAAGAAAAAGTAAAAGACCTTCAGCCATAATCTGTGTATGATGGTATTCCCATATTTATAAAAACCAATCGGCACTCGCTAGGTTATTATGCTGTTTTCAAAAGAAAACCTAGCAGCTATTTTTAGGCTTATTTGACTTAGAATGCCAGATCTTTTTCTCTTCATTTTCTCTTTTCACTGATACCAGGTTCTAGTCAAGTGTTTTGGTTTTCTGTATTTTTCTTGTGCTTCTCATGTGGCTTGGGTGATGTAATTATTCACCATTTTGCAGGTTTTAGCTACCCCATTCATCCATCTCTTTCTTGGTCTTCTTTCGCCTTGCCTCCAAGATGTTCTACTGTAAAAGATCTCAGATGCAATCTGGTCTGGCTGCATTCTCACCAGGTGGTTGAACCATTCAATTCTCATTGTCTTGTATTGCTGCCAGCCCGATATCAACAAAAGTGTGTAGCAGCAATTGATTACACCACTTTTGGAAACCCAGACCAATCTGAAAATCTATGCTCATAGAGAGATTCAACCTTATGACTGTCAAACCAGCAGGTAGGTAAGTGTGCCACCACAGAGCTGTGCAACTTTCTGGAGAGGAGACAACCATAATTCTCTTGTTAATGAACAAACATTCAGTAATTTTTAGAGATGGAAAACTTCAAGCAAGCCTTTATACTTCTATTCATATTTAGAGATACAACAATACACATATCTAACACAGTTTTGTCTAGGCTTTGAAAAATTGTACATACCTGCCAATAGTATTAATCTTCAGCTTAAGATCTGGATCAGAGATCCAATTTGTGGCAAGCCGACTGTGCAGAATGGACAATACCAAGGCCATAGCCATCGGTTCACTAGTCCTGCCCCAAAGAATCTTCAGAAGCTTGGTGTTGTTAGTCAAAGCTGCCCAGTAGATCAGTGCATGTAGTGCCTGAGGTATTAAGCATGCAAGATACAGTATTAAACACTTACATATAGAGTTCTGAGCAAACTGGTTTCAACCATTTTCTTTCTTGTTAGTGTTCACCAGCTGTAAAACTCTGGCCAAAAGTTATGGTTGTTCATCCACTTCTGGACTTTAGGCTTTTCCAGCACTTGAGTTTTGTATGCACAGGCATTGTACAAATCTGGCTTATTTGGATGTAAATTGATGGTTCCTCACCTCTCAGACAGATGCACTCTGACTCTAAAGGAAACTCCCGTAATTAGTCATCTTGTAATACATGCTTGTTAGGGAGGCAGTGGGTCCATTCTTCTTTTCCCCCTCAGAATGGGGTTCGGCACCCACAAGGGGAGAACTATTCAATAGTGTAGGAGGGACTGCTTTGTTTGCCGTCCATCTCTGAGTTAAGCACAGTGCAGCTGCTCTGCGAATTAGGGGTTAGTTAGCATGTTTCACAATTCTCAACATATCAGAATTTGACTGCCATGGTTGGCAGTTTAGAAACAATACTGCCGTGACTTTTATACAGTGGCACTCAATGCTCTAGTTTTGGAAGACTCTTCTTAACTATGGTCTTGCTAGTCACACTTGCCACTGCCATGGGCTGTTACTCCGAAGCCTCAACATAACAGAATATAACACTATCATATGGAAAGATGGAAGGTGCCAATAGTGCCAAAAACTCATTAATTTTTACATAATCTCAACTGAACTTACATTACCTAACACCAGCATGAAACAACGGCATACATTCCTTGATTGTGTCATTTGTTTTCTGCTCATTAATAATTTCTCAACAACATAAATAACATCCTCACGTGTGCTTCTCCAGTTT